GCTTTCATGAGGATATGAATTAGCTAGATAGGTCCTGTGTTAAGGTCTCGGTCTCCAGTCTTGATATGGTAGTCTCTATGTACGGTATTTGTCGAAAGTACCTCTACATTTATATAATATGGTCGAACATACGGTCTAAAATGTTGAGAGGTGTGATTTTTATTTCAATATCTACTTTAGGTCAATTAGCATATACATAGTTTTGAACAGCTTTATTTTTGTGTGGTTTTTTTTTTTTTTTAGTGATTATGGAAAGTGTTTGGCAATAGGGTATAATGAGTAGGCACAAAGAGGATGTGGTGGTGTGAGGGTTTGGGGGGAGGGGATGTTGTAATGAGGTATAGGGGACAGACAACTTGACCAGATCTCAGTGGTACAGTACTTTAGGGGGAGTGTAATGAGGTATAGGGGACAGACAACTTGACCAGATCTCAGTGGTACAGTACTTTAGGGGAAGTGTAATGAGGTATAGGGGACAGACAACTTGACCAGATCCCAGGGGTACAGTACTTTAGGGGAAGTGTAATGAGGTATAGGGGACAGACAACTTGACCAGATCTCAGTGGTACAGTACTTTAGGGGGAGTGTAATGAGGTATAGGGGACAGACAACTTGACCAGATCCCAGGGGTACAGTACTTTAGGGGGAGTGTAATGAGGTATAGGGGACAGACAACTTGACCAGATCCCAGGGGTACAGTACTTTAGGGGGAGTGTAATGAGGTATAGGAGACAGACATCTTGACCAAATCCCAGAGGTACAGTACTTTAGGGGGAGTGTAATGAAGTATAGGAGACAGACATCTTGACCAGATCCCAGAGGTACAGTACTTTAGGGGGAGTCTATAATTATAGGATGTAAAATAGAATAACAAACGGAGATTTAAAAGTGGACAGATTTGCATTCAACCTCTGTTCTTCTTGAAATGTGATTAGGATATTCAAGCAGTAGATTTCAGTACTTTTAGAATTGAAATACATATATAATGTAATATACTGTATTGTCATATCCCAGTTAATGAACTGAAGGTGAACCCCTATATCTGATTATACATAAAAAAGTGTGATAATTATCAGTATTTTAGACTTTAAAGGTTTTGTTTTGTAATAGAAAATAATTGTTGGTCTGTCTGCTAGTCTGTTTTGTTATTCTTAGTCATTTCAAATGAAATTTAACTTTTGACAAAATCGTGACCATTTCGATAGCCTCGGGTGTAATATGGTCTGACACAGCTAGCCAGTACACCTGATTGAAATCTCCATCAGGTTGATCATATATAATAGAGTAGATATTGAGTGGTTAGATAAAACCACTAGCAGTGACTACAGAAGTGTCATGGTTAGCATGTATGTTCAGGATATGGATGTTGTAACCTGTTAGGTATTCACTTTCTATGAATAAATGATAACTGCAATAATGCCATGACAGTAGAGGATGGTAGTAGACAAGTTAATGTAGTACCTGGAAGACACTTGGAGTAGAACAGTAGAGGGTGATGAGTAGACAAGTCTATGTAGTACCTGGAAGACACTTGGAGTAGAACAGTAGAGGGTGATGAGTAGACAAGTCTATGTAGTACCACTTGGAGTAGAACAGTAAAGGGTGATAAGTAGACAAGTCTATGTAGTACCTGGAAGATACTTGGAGTAGAACAGTAGAGGGTGATCAGTAGACAAGTCTATGTAGTACCACTTGGAGTAGAACAGTAGAGGGTGATCAGTAGACAAGTCTATGTAGCACCTGGAAGATACTTGGAGTAGAACAGTAGAGGGTGATGAGTAGACAAGTCTATATAGTACCTGGAAGATACTTGGAGTAGAACAGTAGAGGGTGATCAGTAGACAAGTCTATGTAGCAGCTGGAAGACACTTGGAGTAGAACAGTAGAGGGTGATGAGTAGACAAGTCTATGTAGTACCTGGAAGACACTTGGAGTAGAACAGTAGAGGGTGATAAGTAGACAAGTCTATGTAGTACCTGGAAGACACTTGGAGTAGAACAGTAGAGGGTGATGAGTAGACAAGTCTATGTAGTACCTGGAAGACACTTGGAGTAGACAGTAGATGGTGATGAGTAGACAAGTTAATGTAGTACCTGGAAGACACTTGGAGTAGACAGTAGATGGTGATGAGTAGACAAGTTAATGTAGTACCTGGAAGACACTTGGAGTAGAACAGTAGAGGGTGATAAGTAGACAAGTCTATGTAGTACCTGGAAGATACTTGGAGTAGAACAGTAGAGGGTGATGAGTAGACAAGTCTATGTAGTACCTGGAAGATACTTGGAGTAGAACAGTAGATGGTGATGAGTAGACAAGTTAATGTAGTACCTGGAAGACACTTGGAGTAGAACAGTAGAGGGTGATGAGTAGACAAGTCTATGTAGCACCTGGAAGACACTTGGAGTAGAACAGTAGAGGGTGATAAGTAGACAAGTCTATGTAGTACCACTTGGAGTAGAACAGTAGAGGGTGATAAGTAGACAAGTCTATGTAGTACCTGGAAGACACTTGGAGTAGAACAGTAGATGGTGATGAGTAGACAAGTTAATGTAGTACCACTTGGAGTAGAACAGTAGAGGGTGATGAGTAGACAAGTCTATGTAGTACCTGGAAGACACTTGGAGTAGAACAGTAGATGGTGATGAGTAGACAAGTCTATGTAGTACCTAGAAGACACTTGGAGTAGAACAGTTGAGGGTGATGAGTAGACAAGTTAATGTAGTACCTGGAAGACACTTGGAGTAGAACAGTAGAGGGTGATGAGTAGACAAGTCTATGTAGTACCACTTGGAGTAGAACAGTAGAGGGTGATAAGTAGACAAGTCTATGTAGTACCTGGAAGATACTTGGAGTAGAACAGTTGAGGGTGATGCGTAGACAAGTCTATGTAGTACCTAGAAGACACTTGGAGTAGAACAGTAGTACAAATTAAAGTTTGATCTGATGTTCAGCTCGCATGGCACCAAGTACTATTGAGCTTAAGGTAATTGGTAAAGGACCTGCTATATTTCAACCTTTAATTTCTTTAGAAAACTAGAACCAACTGGCTACTGATATTTAGCTAGAAGGTACCAGATTTAGAGTTTAGTATTTTTTCTTCATAGGAATGACATTGACATATTTTCAGGGTCACAGGGGTCAGATATGCTAAAATCTTGAAGAATATTCTTCTCAAGTTTCCTAAGACCTAAAAGTCTCAATCTTATGCCAACATGTTTGTAGGGCGGAGGACTGTGAAATTTCCTCTTGAAAATGACATTGATCTATAATTTTCAAGACCACCGGGATCAAATGTGTTGTAAACATTTAAGACTCTTCTTCTGAAGTTGCAGAAGACCCCCAGAACCTTGATGTTATGCCAGGAGGTGCTTATGAAAGAGCTCTACAAAGTTTCTCCAAAGAATTGATCCTGACCTATCATCAAGGTCACAGGAACCAAATAGATTAAAAACATTTTAGATTCATCTCAAGTTTCAGAAGATTCATGAACCTGATCATTTGTACGCAGATGATTGAGTGTTACAGAAAGAATGACCTTCAAGTTCACAGGGGTCAGATTTGCTAACCATCAAACACATAATTTTTTAGAATGGGAGCAGCAAAAGATATCATTATTGGTTATGTCATTGGCACAATATCATTTCAAATTTACATTGTCTTCTTGAATAACACAGCGTTATTTTTGGACATTCTTGTTTTAATATCCATGTGAGGGATATATTCTCCAGGTCCTCTTGTTTACATGTAATGCTACAATCCTACATATTCTACAGTCAGGAATCATCAGGTTGAAAACAAGATATGACATTAAAGATTGTTTCCATGTTTTTTTTTAATAGACAAACGTCTTATTGATTTTCTTATCTGACAGTTGTATCAATATATTCATTTCACTAATGAAAAATTATACAGATGTTCAGTCCAGTCGTACTCATGAAATGTAATGATGATATTTAATGACATATCATTAAACATAGTTATACATGACTGTCGTGAGGGCAAGCTAGTTGGACCAAATGTATAAGCATAAAAGACAAGACAAAAGATCAGATTTGATTGAATTTGGCCGTTTATTAATATATAAACGACGAACTTGAAACATAAGAGTTTCAAGAATGAACAACAAATTTTACATGAGAAGACATTTGGTCCTAGGTGGGGATCAAAAACGCCAATCAAAAACACCCACACCTAGTTTATAACAAGCAATTAATACATACATGTTTTATAAAAGATGGACACATCAGAAAAACATTTGGTCCTAGGTGGGGATCAAATGCCCAAACCTAGTTAATAACAACAGATTAATAATTAATACATACACTTATTGTAAAAGATGAACATGTAAGAAAACATTTGGTCCTAGGTTGGGGTCCAAAGCGCCCAAACCTAGTTAATGACAACAACTTGATACATACAAGTAATAAGAAAGATGAACATCCACTGTTGTATCTGATAACCTTTATTGATCTACGGAAGGAGGAGGGGGTGGAGGTGGGTTAAGACGTAATTTCCAAAATATATGTAAAACAATCAAAACACTGACTGACCTGCTGTATGCGTCTTTTCCCTTTGTTTCTTTGTCTGGTAATGACTTGATGCGCTTACTCATCACATCCTTTCCCCCTTCCGCATCAAAACCAAAGGCCGTAAAATTTAAATTGTTAAAAATCATACTGAATATTTAATCTTATTTACAACATATACACCACATGACAACAACTCTCCTTACATGTATAAAGTACATTAAAATGCCATTTTAATTATCATTTATACATGACCGTCGTGAGGGCAAGCTAGTTGGACCAAATGTATAAGCATAAAAGACAAGACAAAAGATCAGCTATGATTGAAATTGGCCATTTTATAGGTATTCCTTACAAGTGATCCTGTATAGAGTCTTGCTGTCTTTGGAAACATTACAAACCAGGTGTAAGTAGCTCTTGTTATTTTCTGCAGATAATTTAGAAGAAAGAAAACTTAATAAGACTGGTTGATAGGCGTCATGTACAAAGGAACAGTGTTTCTGCTGCTAACTGTCCTTTCAAAATTATGTGGTGAGTACTGCTTATGTCTCTTGAAAAGAGAATGAAGTATTTGGGAATTAAAAAAGTGATATGTGCATGTACAATTTCAGTTATGATAATTTGAATTTTAAAATCCTTCTGTTATGATGAAGATATTTTGTCCAAAGCGAACTTTGTCCAAATTTGACTTGAAGCATCCTTGGGTGAAGGGAGATAAATATTAATAAGGGTGGTCCTGATCTCATACGGCCCAGAGGGGTGGGGATAAGTTTGGAAAATAGAGGAATAGTTTCAAAATCAATTTTTTGTCTAAATTTGGTCCAAGGCATCTTAAGGTTAAAAAAATCCCAACTTTGTATACATTGTGGGCCTCAGCACCTAGAGGCCTGTAGGGCAGGACCAAAAATGGGGAAATATAGAGAATTCTTTGAAATCCTTCATCTGTCAACATGATTAGATTTTGTCCACATTTAGTCAAAAGCATCCTTGGGTGAAGGCAACTCAATTTTATGTAAATGGTAGGTCTCAATACTGCAGGTAGATTCAATCTTTAAAATTCAGCTGTGTTGTAATGGAGGTATTTTTGACCAAATTTCTCTCCCAAAATCTCTAGATGTAATAGACTCAATTTTATGTCAATCAAGGGCCTGCGAAGTGTTAGGGCCCAATATCGGAAATAGAAGTAGACTTTTAAATCATTATTCTTGGATGAGGATAATTTGTCAAAATGTAGTATAAAGCTTTAAAATTCTTCATATTTTGGGAAGAATATAACAATATGATTATGAGTAAAAGTGTTTTGAAGTGAATGCTGAAATATCCAGGTGAAGGATACAGGCTCCATGAGCCTCTTATTTAAAATCTAGTCCAGTCAATTTTACTGCAATTTGAATAACATTAATACTTCTTTTAGATGGCTGTTTAAGTGGAGCCTCACCAAAGCAGGTTGGAGAACAATTTGTGACTTGTGGGCCAGGGAAGCCTCGGTGTGGGAGAGGTTTCTACTGTGAGATTGATCTATGCTGCCCAATACTCCCACCGACATGTAAGTTCAGATGTGTTTCTATTGAAAGATGGTCATTTTTATGACAAAAGTTTTCTCATCTACAAGAATACTACTTCATCCTTTGCAGATTGAGATAAAAGTCCAAATCAGATACAAAATTTGACAATTTCATGACTTAATGGTCGAAGGTCAATAATTTACAATGAAACACTGTGAAGTCAAACTTCAAGTAAAATTTTGCTTGTTCAAATCAAAATCTTTTCAAGTTAATGAAACCATATACCGGTAGTATATGTACCATACATGTATATGGACATAGGTTCACATTACACTTTAATTCAATGTACTGAAGGAGTTTTTGGAAATCTGTCTGTACATAGATTAACATTAGACATCATTTCATTCAACTGCTGATGTTGTATGTAAACTGTCTACAGCTTGTGGATAGACTATGTTTCTAATTAGTAAAGTGACTAGATGTAGCATTAGGCTACATGGACTGTGTTGTGAAGTCCTTTGTTTAATTGAGACACTGTAATTATAACCTGAATATAATACTCCAACTCATTTTTTTAGCTGGATGTTTAAATGAAGGCATACCAGAAACGACTGAAGGAGGACAAGACAAGGTTTGTGGGCAAGGGATGGATTCCTGTGGCATTGGATACATATGTGAGATTGATAAATGCTGCCCTATACCATTTCTGTCTGGTGAGTTCAAGTGATGAAAATATTTCAATAAAACTTCAGTTAGTATGTTGGACCCATATATATTGTTTTGTGGGGAGAAGTGAGTTTAAGTGAGACAACATTATAATAACTATGTAACAAAGTTGGTATTTGTTTTGTAACTACCTATCAATTTGCTATTACATTTACATTAATTATGACTTTACTTGTAAATACAACTACTAGGTGTGGGTGAGAGAAACCCAGTTAATTAATTTAATTCATTATGTAATGTTGCATTATAACAATTACAAACAATACATAAGTAATGCATAGTGACATATGCAATGTTCATAACTCTTATCTTTACAGGGTAGAATATATATATATGTATAACAGCTAATTTCAAACATGGTTCTTTATGTCATGTAATCTCCCCCCAAAAAACGAATGTCTTTGGTATATCAGTTGCGACTTCTCTGTCTTTTGTCCCTTGGTACTTACACTCAAACTTTGTAATCTCAAACACAACTAGTTCCAAGACCACATAATTCAATGTATTCCGTCGATTTTGACTCACTTGAATCAAATGCTTGGATAACTCATAGCTTTTCCATTGTCCTGCCATTTTCAAGATAACAAGGTTGAACTGTATCTGCGACCAGGGAGAACATCATGCTGTGTGTAGTAGCTTTTGTGTGAGTGCAATCCATCACAGAGTAGGATCTTCATATTCAGCAACCACATTAATGTAATAATCCTAATCCAAAACATTTTCAGGAGGATGTGTAAATGGAGGTTATCCTAAGCAAAATGGAGAAGGACAAAATCTGAAATGTGTGCCAGGCATGTCTCAGTGTGGAATTGGATATTTGTGTGAGATAGACAAGTGCTGTCCTGTACCCATACAGACAGGTAAGTTTTGCTCCAGACAAATCTTGAAGTGTAGGGTATTTCTCATCTATCTGTTATTGTAAATGCTGTAGAATCCCTATGTAAGTTACATTACATGATATTGTTGATGGATAAATATCCCCATTTCCATTAATTTCATTTCAAAATATTTTATTGTCATGATGTTGGTGACAAATGGAATTGGGCAACAGGCAGAGCCTATGAAAGCCCTCTCCGTACAACTTAAACAAGTACACAGACACATCAATCAAAATTTAAGATATTAAATAATAATGATAGCATTCCAGGAAAAGAATTTAGAATATAGATTCAGTTGAATAATTATCTAACAGAAATGTTAGGCAAGCATTACCATCATTTAAATTATAGTGTTAAAGAATAGTAAGATTAGATAGGTAATATAATTATATATAACAAGATGGAGTCAAAGTTTGTCAATGGATCATGACACAGGCTGCAGGTTCAAACAGTCCATATACCCACAATCCTGAGCCGAGTCCGTAAAAATTGACAGGCAGACCAAACTTAAGATAACAAATTCAAATTAAAAATAGAAAAAAAAATGTATATATAAGTATACTAAGGCTAAAACAGGCAACTGGTATCAGTTATGAATCTGTGGACCAAATCAAGACTAGATTTATTTATATTTGCATCAAGTGTATGAGATCCTTTAAGAAATGTATCAGTGGTAAGAGGTATAGAATCACTAAGAGTAGAAAGAGAATTAAGGAGGAGTTGTCTTTGGATAGTAAAGAAGGGACAATGGAAAAAGAAGTAAGATCTTCAACTGGGTGGCCATAAGTACAGGCAGGGTTGTCTTTAATGTGGAAATTAAATAAGTCAAAATTTAGATTACTTGCAGAGTTTCTTAGTTGACACAAAATTATGTTTGCCTTTCTGTTACCGTAATACCGTATTTATTCCAATAAACACCCCGTCTCTAATAAACGCTCCCCACCTGTTTTTTTAACCAAAATTTTATACTTTCCTCGGTTGCCCAGGATTTTTGTCTGGCCCTGCACATGTATACCACTTGGTATGTCATCTTTCGGAAGGGGACGAATGCCTGGCATGTGCACAAGGGGGGCGATTTTAGTCCCATCGGCATATGCTGCCAGTGTCACCGTTATTTTTTTGTTTTTGTTCAATACGATCATCAATTAATGAAACTTCATGTTGTGCCACATGCGTAGATCGCCTGAACAAAATGTTATGTCTCTTTTTGAATTTAGAAAACCATCCATATGAGGCTTTGAACGATTGACTACCATTTGCCTTATGCATACGCAGGGCCTCAAACCGCAATGCTTTCCCAGTCACTCGTATTCCGGCCTCCCGTCTGTCCTGTAGCCATCTCATCAGATTTTTGTCAATATCTTCATATCTGACATGCCTCCCACCTCCTTTACAGCGTTTAGATGTTTTAGAAAGATTTTTTAATTTTTCTTTGTTCTGACACCAGTCCCACACTCGTTTTCTGTCAACACGAAACACTTTCACGGTGGCATGTTTACCCTTCTCCTCTGCGAAGGCGATTACTTTAAGCTTGAAAGCAGTCGTAATTTCGTTTTGTCCCAGACATTGTTATCAGGTATGTGGGATTTATTAAGAAACAGACTGGCTTATAGACCGCTGTGTTTTTTTATTTTGTTATGCAAACTAGGCCTACAAGCGATGATGAACATTGTACGTTTTTGACTGAAGCTGACATGATGTCATACAAGAATTCAGGTTATCAGAATGCAGTTGACAACAATGTTTAAAGCTACAACGATGTTGGAATTACTGCAAATTTCAAATGCATTCTTTGCTGAGAAATTCGTTAGTTTGTTAAGTGGCAGCCATGGCATGTCACAACCAACAAATTATGAAATTTTGTGTTCTATTAATTGCCCCCTGTCTGAAAAATTTCACGTCCCCGGGGCGTTTATTGGAATAAATACGGTATTTAAAAGTATCAGTGCATTGTGAAAGAGGATTGATAACAGGCTGTGACAAAAATGATTTTTTTTATTGCATAAATGGATGTCAATGAGGGAAACAGACAGGATGGGTCGTTCCATTCAGTCATGAGTTTTGGAAAGAAACTAGTGCTATATTGACAAGTTCTTGCAAGGGGTACATCAAACAACCTATTGTGTCGAAGAGGATAATGAACAGTGTTATTGTTGATAAAAGGCTGGAAAGAATCAGTTACATGAGGAGGGCATCTGTTATTTAAAATATTAAAAAAATGGATATTTTGATGTAGGTGTCTTCATTTAGCTAATGGTATTAATCTAGATTCATTAAAAAGGATAGCAAGACTGGTGCCCCATCTCAGACCAGTAATAATGTGTATTGCCTCTGATTGAACTGATTCTAAGGTGTTGCATTCCCTTTCTGTGCAGTTAGACCAAATAATATCAGTATATTCTAAAAAAAAGACGAATAAATGTAATATATATTAATTCAAGTGACTTTCTGTCAATTTTGTACTTTAACATTCTAAGAATATTTATTCGTTTATAAGCTTTCTCATACATAAAGCTTATGTGGTTTGACCAATTAGCATGACTGTTAAAAATTAGACCCAGGTGCTTATGACAGGTAACATTTTTAATAACTGAGTTATTAAAATACAGATTTTGGATGCAACATTTCAGAATCTATTTGCCTAGAAAAAAGTAGGGATTCAGTCTTATCTGGATTAAAAATAATACCCCACCTTTTGGCCCATCTAGAAATTTTTTGGAGATCATCATTTAGTATATCAGCCGCATCTTGCCTGTCACCCTCAATTAGGCCATATAAAGATGTGTCATCAGCAAATAATTTCACATAGATAGTAAATCATCACCAATATCATTAATATATAGCAAGAACAGATAAGGACCAAGAACTGAACCTTGTGGGACCATAGCCTGTAATGTTTCCCAGTTGGACTTGTATCCATCTAGGACCACTCTCTGTTTACTGTCAGATAAATGAGATGAAAACCACTTTAACATGTTATTACTAATACCATATTTTTTCAATTTGTAAATTAATCCATCATGTCAAACTCTATCAAACGCTTTGCTAATATCACAAAATATCATTCTTGCTTCTTTACCTTTATCCAAATGTTTAATAATTTCATCATATATAAATAAAAGTTGATTAACATTAAAATCTTTTGGTAAGAAACATGATTGGTTTCTAGAGATAATATTGTATCTTGAAAGATATTATACAAATATTTGAAAACAATTTTCTCAAGGATTTTACTGAAGATTTGAGTATCAGAGATTGGCCTATAGTTAGAGGGGTCACTTTTTCCTCCTTTCCCATTATATACAGGTGTTACATGGGCATTTTCCAGCAGGTAGGAAGTACACCTGCAGAGATAGATTTATTAAATATTATAGAGAGAGGTTTAACAAGGGATTGAGAAACTCCTTTTATGAATTTGGGAGGGATGGCATCAGGGCCTGCAGGTTTGTTAGTATTTAGAAGCTGAAGTTGGTCAATAATGTCCTGTTCAGTTATGTCGATAGAAGAGAAGTTAATAATTGGTGGGGGATAGTCAGGTGGTAAATCATCAGCATTCTTGTCTGTCACTGAAATAGATGTGCAGTAATCATTGAAAGACTCAGCTTTACCTAGAGGATGTATTTTCAGATCATCATTAATTATCAGGGGAGAGTCAGTATCGCTTTTATTTTGAAGATTCATAACTGATTTCGCAATTCGCCACCATTTTCCAGGAGGAATAGTTTTATCAATAAGAGAAGATTGTAATGTAGATAGATATTTATTTTTAGCCACTCGAATTAAGGTAATTACCTGGTTTCGAATAGCTTTAAATTTATTCCAGGAGGCCTGGGAATTCTGTTGTTTAGCTTAAGAATGCTGGCGATTTCTGTCTTATTTTCAGTCTAATTTCATTAGTCATCCATATTTTGTCATTAGGTCTAAAAGTTACAGTCTTGTTTGGTACAAATTGGTCAATAGCAGCTAAAATTTTGTTAGATAGAATATAATTCATTTCATCAATATCACCTACTAATTGAAAATTCTAGTCAATAGAACTAAGAAATTCATTTGCTCCATCAAAATTAGTATTTTGGAAATATAAAAGGTTTTTTTTATAAGCAAGTTTCTTAAAAGACTTGAAGTTTAAGTTAGCAGTAATTGGGGAGTGGTCACTACAAGATGGGGGTAGCACAGATGTATTAGTAACAAAGTTAACATTATTGGTAACAAGAATATCAAGTGATGTTGAAGATTGAGGAGTAATCCTGGTGGGTTCAGTAACAGTATTTTGTAGTCCGTATTTTAATAAGAGTCTATAAAAATGAGAGTTTGGACTAAGGTTTAGCATATCTTGATTAATATCTCCAACCAGAATTACTTCCCTTTGTAAATCAAACACATCATTTAAATCATTTTCAAGTTTTTGCCGGTAATTAACAAGAGAATTTGGAGGTCTGTAGGTACAACCAATTAAAATAGGCTTATTATGCGTGGATACCTCAACCCAAAGTAATTCTAATTCATCAGACTCAAGATCAGTTCTTCGCTTGATATTAAGATTGTTTTTAGAGTAGATAAGAACACCACCACCACCACAGTTGTTTCTATCTTTTCTGAAGAGATTACCATAGTTTTCAAGTGATACATCATTGTCAGGAATAGAATTATTGAGATGAGTTTCACTAACACATAAAATATCGTAGAGAATTCTGCATCAAGAAGATGGATCTTGTTTCTTAATGAACATACATTTATGTGACAAATAGAAATATTTTGCAAGATAGAGCTAGTATCATTTTCAGGACCAGGGTTAGGGTGAACATCTCCACATAATATTAATAGAATATATATCAGCAATAAATAATCAATGTTTAACGAACATAATGTCAGAGAATCATAAATAATACCGGAATGATTTACCAAGTCACTCAATGCTCCACTGGTACAGGAAGGTTCAATACGTGTAGAGCACGTTAATGTAATAATCCTAATCCAAAACATTTTCAGGAGGATGTGTTAATGGAGGTTATCCTAAGCAAAATGGAGAAGGACAAAATCTGAAATGTGTGCCAGGCATGTCTCAGTGTGGAATTGGATATTTGTGTGAGATAGACAAGTGCTGTCCTGTACCCATACAGACAGGTAAGTTTTGCTCCAGACAAATCTTGCAGTGTAGGGTATTTCTCATCTATCTGTTATTGTAAATGCTGTAGAATCCCTATGTAAGTTACATTACATGATATTATTGATGGATAAACATCCCCACCAAAGATGGTTACATTTAAAGGTAAGGTCACATCTTTGTCATTGACCTAGTAGAGAGAGAATAGAGGTCAGTCACAATGATTGTTTCTGAACAAAGCTGTTCCCTCTTCTAGCTCTGGCAGCCCATGTAGCAATGATAAAATGTTGTTATAGCAAAACAACACAAAAACTTTCTTGGGGGAAGTTATACACATTGCTTTAAGTATTTGGAAAAAAGCATGAGGGTAATGTAAGAATGTATACAGCTTGTGTTGTAAGTATCATATGATAACCACAATAAGTAACCAGGTTTCACTGTTGTGACATTATAAGGACCATGTCCTAATGGTGGGATGCCAGCACAGATTGATGGTACAGATAAACAGTGTGACAGAGATGTGGACTGTGGAGGAAGCTACCAGTGTACCAATAACTATTGTTGTCCAGTCACTATACAATCTGGGATGTGTCCATTTGATGGAATCCCACAGATGACAGAGATGGGAGAACCTCGCATGTGTAACAAGACCTCTAAATGTATGTCAGAGTTATATGGTTGTGAGGGAGTGTACTGCTGTCCCCGGAGATTTTCTACTGATGGTAAGTTATCACACAGATGTGAGGGAGGTACTTATGTCCCCTGACATTCTCTACTGATGGTAAGTTATCACACAGATGTGAGGAAGGGTACAACTGATGATGATTTATCATAAAAGGATGAAAGTGGAGATTTGGATTTCTTAATTTCATCTTAAGATAAAAATCATGAAATTATTGAACATTTTCATAAATATTTGAAATCAAGACAACTTTATGACCACTTTTTATAAACTAACATTCTTTAACATTTAAGATACCCTTTGATATCAGAATCTTATGAAATATATATAATATATCTCAGTGTGTAAAATGAAAGATTTGAGTTTGTTTTAATATTTTGAAGCAAATAATTGGAAATTTTGATGAACTTTGAGAATTTTAGAGACTTTTAAAGTGTCCTTCCTATTGACAGGAATATGCCCTGGAGATGCCTCACCAGAATTCATGGATGGAGTTGTGAGGACATGCCCTAACAACAACAGGTGTGGAGGAGGATACAGCTGTCAGTTTGGCCACTGTTGTCCCTTCAGGGTCTTTACAGGTAAATACTTGTTATGTTGTTGGTATTCCTCACATCTTTACACAGAAATCAGTGATCATTCAGGAAAGATGTTAGAACAATGGAATTAACATCAGGTATTCTAATGTCAAAACAAGATGTGTTGATGAAAACACTCTTCCCCCACTTGCAGCAAAATTAAAATCACATGGTCAATAATTTTGGTACTATTAGAAATGGCTTGCACAAGGAACACACATACCAAATATGAAAGCCCTACTTCTATGGTGCAATAGTTATGGCCAATGTTAAAATTGTTCAAATGTAGGTCAAAGTTCATGGTCAAGGTCATGGTAAAAATATTTTGATACCATCAGAAAGGTCTTGTCGCAAGAAACACTCATGCCAAATATGAAAGCCCTACCTCTTGTAGTGCAGTAGTTATGGACAAGGTTAAAACTGACGATAGACAAACAAACAAGAAGACAGCAAAAACAATATGCCCACTATCTTTTTGATTGGGAATGTGAAAACAAGAACAAGGAAACACTATACAAGAAGAGTTTAGCACTGTGTCTTTACAGTGATAACAGATAAATTATACCTTATCTTAGCTTAGTGAATCTATCTTTATTTATTTCAACAATTTGTGGATTTAGAATATCCATGAAATGAATGAAAATTTACTATTTAGTTTTTAGTTATGATGTTAAGAAGAAGAGTTGAGGAAAGAAAAGACACTTAATCAATGATTGAAATTGACACTGATTGATGGGGGTCATTTCGTATTATGTCAAGTCACATTTTGTGTCTTTTTATATTGTGAAAATATTTCATGACTTTATGAATTTTGTAGGAATCAGAATAGAAGTAATCAACTGACCAAAGATAAAGTAATTAGGTTAAATGTCAGGGCGTCTCTTATTAACTGTTAATATTTTTATGAAATAAAATTGGAAAATCTGTCAAATTTAAGAGGATAGAGCTGGTCAACATGACAGTAACCAAAGATTAAGATCATTGATGGTCAAGGTTAAATCGGTGTCTCTTGCTAGGCCAACATTTGTAACGACGTTGTCAGGCAAAGTTATTAACAACATTAACAAATGTCATCTTATCAATGGTCATTGTTTGTTGACAAATCTGTCTGGAGTGAAAATGGTCCTGATTTATTGTATGAATTCTTATGAAACATGTCGGACATTATCAGTACATAAAGCAATTTAGTATTTATTTTTCATCTGATTGATTTTGGTTTACTGCCCCTTTAATGATAAACTTAGTTTGTCTTAAGTAATGTTGTGTGACTTTCAACATTTACATAAGAAACTAATTATTACAATTACTATTGATATCTGAGGTAGATGTAAACATATCATTTACTGTTTGTTTAGATGGTTCCTTGTCAACTTTTCACCCATTTATGAAATCTCCTTGTAAGACTTAATGTCCATTGTTTTTTCTCAGGTGTTTGTGCCAATGGGGGAAACGCAATGATGGAGGATGGCAAAATGGTCATGTGTTCAGAGGAGAAGCCATGTGACCAATCAGGTTATACATGTAATAGAGCAGGTTACTGTTGTCCAGCTAAAGTCTACAAGGTGGTAAAACATATACATGTAATAGGCCTGTTGTCCAGCTAAGTGTAAGAGGTTGATCTAAACATATACATGTAATAGAGCAGGTTATTGTTGTCCAGCTAAAGTCTACAGAGGTAAGAGGTCCAGTCTGAAACATATACATGTAATAGAGCAGGTTACTGTTGTCCAGCTAAAGTCTACAATGGTAAGTGGCCCAAAGTGTATTGATCTATGATGAGCATGGTTGGTTAACACATAAAGGCCCATATTTACAACCTTCCCCTGGCAAAAAGATGGACAAGATTTAGATGAGCTGGAGAATATTTTTGAAGGTGTTTAGACATTCTAAGACATACTAACAGTTGATCTTTTAATATGCCAATAAATGTCATGGTTTTCATTGCTATGCCTCAGTTAAGAAAATAACAGATATAATCACTACATTCCCTCTGCTTTCAGTCTGGATGTCTGTTATGGGAGTTATGCCCCCTTTAACAATAATATTACAATGTCTAAATTTTATTTGGTAACTCCTCTACGATCCTTCTCTTTACATGTATGGTTGATGAAACCTCTTGGAATCTATAACTAAACTCCAAACAAACAACTGTACCATCATTGTAAAGGCTTAGGTTTTACAAGGGCTGTCCCCCAAAAAATAGCTGAGAAATTAGGACCAATTTTAAAGGTCTGACACAAGATATCCACACACCAAGAATCAAACCCTTTCTCATAGAGGATCTTGGGCTTACTCATAGCACTCAAACACTCTGATGATGCTGTCTTAGGTACTCCTGGCTGGGAAGAGCTGGACAATCATGCCTTTAAGTTTAAAATCAAGTGTCAGCTGATTACCAGAGACAGTTTTATTATTGAATATAAGTCCTTTTGATAATTTTCAATTTTATTTGTGAAAAGCTTTGGTCTTAACTGAATCTGATGTAATTTTCATATTGTAACATTCTTATTAAAAAAGTACTCAATTTATAGTTGTGATAAATTATTGTTCTAAAATCTGAAAGAAAGCTACTAAAGGAAATTTTAATCTGTGGAAAATAAAAGCCATATTTTCTTTCAAGATTCTCGGTTTCCTCTCCACCAAAACAACTATGTGTATACACCTTTTCATTATGACTTGAAAAATGTAATGAAAAGGTCCTGGATTTGATGTAATACTTTCTGAATTTTGTAGAAAAGAATTTCAGTCAACAACTTTTCTTTTGTTCATAGATTACTGTCCTAACGGTGGTACACCAGCATACTATGATGGTCGCCCCGGAACTTGTCACTCTAACAAGTCATGTGATGACGTGATGTACACCTGTGATGGGGGCTACTGTTGTCCTTCGAGTGTTGTCTTTGATGGTGAGTAAAGGAGACAAAAGAGTGACATTGGTTTTTCATCTTCATGAATATAGAGAATCTATCCTAGTTATAATGGAACATGGTAACAGAGTCATTAATCTTTTACTCTGATGGCATTTCATTCTGTTTTATTGTAAAGTGTGTAAATCAGGCATCCTGGCATTTTTTTGGCCATCATCATCAAATAGTGGTCTGTTCAAATCACTCTTCTTCCATGATCTGTCCATAAACAGTCCTTATTGCTATATCATATGAATTTATTTGTATTAAATTCTACTTTATACAAATTATAACTATTACCAACTACAATCTTTGGTTCATACTGAAGTTAATATTATGTGATTAATTTGATATAAGGTTTTATTTTTATTCTTTGTCAGTTTTTAACAAGCTAAGTTTGATTCTTCTATTCTTGAGTTGAGACACAGGAAAATAGTGACGTGTGCAAATGATGATGTCAGATTATTAATGAGTTATAAATAGATCGTTTTGAGTTAACTGACCAATGGTCATTAAGATTAGGGACGCCATGCTTCAGAGCAGAAAAGGTTTGAGCGGGTACAAACAGATCTGGATTTCTAATCAACCCACCCTCCATCCCATTGTGACACCAGTATTTCGTGCTTTATTTACAAAGATACCTAACCTTGAGGGGATTCAAGCATTCCTTACTTCTGTGCATACTAAGTTTTGATTAAATTATAATATGAAAGAAAAGAAAGTACGATTTTACATTTGTACATTGTCTCTTATTGCTCAGGAGAATTACCTTGACATGTTCTATTGTACGTATGCGTTAATGTTGCATTTTAACTGACCACTGATGTCCATTGTTTTGTATACATCTTGATGCGACACCTTAGCAAATTATCTTGTTTACTATTGATGTCTCTTATCTTGCTATGGGTTGCCTGTATGGCTGTCTGGCAGTAATTCAGTACACGTCAGGCCATTAATTCATTACACTGAATTTTCACCAAATCAGACCTTCGTTTTTTACATAATTAATGTTTTTATATCATCATAATATGTTATTTAGATACTACATATGGTGTATCCAGTGACCATGCAGTAGGTTGTTTTTACCGGGCACCCCCTAATTACAACCTCGGACTTGTAGACTAACACATTACGATTATCTACAGGCTCCATTCAGGATACACTGTTTAAATAACTTCAAATTGTCTGTTGTAATTAATCTATTTATGTATCCTCTGACCATGCTAGCTCCGCTACATACAGATCAGGCTGTCTCTGCTGGGCTCCCCCCATTGACAGCCTCTGGACTTGTAGACTAACTTAAGCGATTATCTACAGGCTCCTTTCTAAGGATACACAAATATTAATTACATTGCAGAATCTGCTATCAACTGCCTTACACAGTCATACAGAGTAGCCCCTGAGAAGGCCATATGTTATAGAGGAATGTACATAAGTGTTTTACATATGTAGTAGTAACAGTAAATATTATTCATTTACTTCAATCTTTTGTTGTTTGTATAAATGTGTACTTACTGGAGGGACATTTTTCATACACCCATCAAAGGACAGGTTGTATTATGTTATCACTTGAGTAGGTGGACAGGTGGATGGGCAGAGTCCGCTCAATATCTCAATTAACTTTCAACATGCCAACTTCAAACTAAATGGAAAGGATCGTTACCATGATTACTCTGACAACTTCAATGACATCAAGAACATTTTGGATTATTAGAGTTGAAGTTTGTTATTGTCAGAAAGTTCTTGCTTGGTCTTAGATTTCATTTTTAGAATTTTCTTTTTAAGAGGGAACGTAGAGAGGGGGGAAAAAGGGAGAAACGACCAGTCTTGCATAGTACCATATCTTGTTTCAAGTAGGGATGTAAATGAGACCAAAGAAGTCATGCAAATGTTTTAACAGTAGAATATAAATGTGTAATTATGTTACATTTTTGTGTAAATATGTTGTATAAGGTCCTTGTCCCAGCGGTGGGATGGCAGCACAGATTGATGGTACAGCTATACAGTGTGACAGAGATGTGGACTGTGGAGGAAGCTACCAGTGTACCAATAACTATTGTTGTCCAGTCACTGTACAATCTGGGAAGTGTCCATTTGATGGAATCCCACAGATGACAGAGATGGGAGAACCTCGCATGTGTAACATGACCTCTCAATGTATGTCAGAGTCATATGGTTGTGAGGGAGGGTTCTGCTGTCCCCAGAGATTCTCTACTGAGGGTAAGTTATCATACAGATGTGAGGGAGGGTACTGCTGTCTCCAGAGATTCTCTACTGAAGGTAAGTTATCAGACAGATGTGAGGAAGGGTACTGCTGTCCCCAGAGATTCTCTGCTGATGGTAAATTATCACACAGATGCGAGGGAGGTACTTATGTCCCCTGACATTCTCTACTGATGGTAAGTTATCACATAGATGTGAGGAAGGGTACAACTGATGATGATTTATCATAAAAGGATGAAAGTGGAGATTTGGATTTCTTAATTTCATCTTAAGATAAAAATCATGAAATTATTGAACATTTTCATAAATATTTGAAATCAAGACAGCTTTATGACCACTTTTTATAAACTAACATTCTTTAACATTTAAGATACCCTTTGATATCAGAATCTTAAGAAATATATTTAAATATATCTCAGTGTGTAAAAGTGAAAGATTTGAGTTTGTTTTAATATTTTGGAGCAAATAATTGGAAATTTTGATGAACTTTGAGAATTGGCAAGAACCCCTTGAATAATTTTCCCATTTGATTCGTTTTGTAAGCAGCTTGAAATTTTAGAGACTTTTAAAGTGTCCTTGCTATTGACAGGAATATACCCCGGAGATGCCTCACCAGAAATTATGGATTCAGTCTTCTTCACAAATCTACATTTTAGTATTGAAAGAAAGTCACATCTTGATATTGATAATTAAGTTGTCATCCCATCAATCTAGTTATTTTGATGTTTTGTGACAGGAATATGCCCCGGAGATGCCTCACCAGAAATTATGGATGGTGCTGTAAGGACATGCCCTAACAACAACAGGTGTGGAGGAGGATACAGCTGTCAATTCGGCCACTGTTGTCCTGTCAGGGTCTTTACAGGTAAATACCAACACACATGATCATCAATACCTCAACTGATTATAAATACAATAAATACATGTATTACATACAATGGACTCTATCCTGTAGGAGGGTAGGGAGGGGGGGGGGATGGGAGAGTCAGTAGAGCATAGGGATAATTATAAATACAATAAATACATGTATTACATACAATGGACTCTATCCTGTAAGAGGGTGGGGATGGGAGAGTCAGCAAGCTGAAAAGCAGATCAGGTTTTTGACACTTGTTTCTCTGACAAGATGTTTTACTTCATTTCAACTCAATGACATCACAGAGCTCTGTCCCAAAATTGTGCTGGCTTTCCACCAGGCAATAATCCAACAGCAGCTAGTCGAATGTCCTGTAGATGGAAATGAAGCCATTATTCATCAACATCTCCCTTTAACATCTTCTTCACAATAATCCAAAGACATATAATTATGATATTTGGCTGAAAGGTTTCTTGGTTGAAGCTCAGCAAAGTAGGTAGAAATAAATGATGTTGATGGATACTCAAGGTCACAGGGATCATGATAGTTGTTGGGTAGGTCCCCAGGATGAAGTTCAAAATGTAAGGAAAAGAATTGACCATAGGCATTATTCCAGGTCATGCATTTAAATTTGGTAAAAACAACTTCTTCAAATGAACCAAAAGGCCTAGAATCATAATATTTGGCTGCAGGTTGAAGCTTGACAAAATTAGTGAAAAGAAATGATCTTTGTTACCCATATTCAAGAACAATTTGTTAAAACTATCAAACAACTTTTTTTCTAATTAAACAAAATGACAAGAATCCTGATATATGGCTTGTAAGTGCCTTGGATGAAGCTTATCTAATATCACTAGAGTCAAATTTCATAAAAACATTCTAGCAAGTTATTGACCAAAATGCTAAGAATGTTGATATGTAGTGGATAGATTCCAGATAAACCTATCAGAGATTATGAAGAGAAAATTCCTTTAGCAATATTCAATGTCAAAGGAGTCATATTAGTTGAGATGTCCAAATGACTTCTTTGACTTCATAAAACAAGAATTTGAATACCAATGATTTGAAATGTCAGTGTATCTGTGAAGAGGTTTGAATATCAGAGGAGCAATAAAAGTGTGTTAGGTTTCTTGTTTTTTATCCCACTTTGATCAGACGATGGGCTTTTCAAAATCACTCTGATCAGAAAAACAAAATGGCTGACAGTTGGCCATCTTAGATTTTGACTTTGAAAGTTTGTTATTGCTCTGTTTTGAGATAAACTGCACAGTTCTTTATCAAATTTCATATGTAGGTCCCTCTTGGTCTCTATTGTGCCTGTTTGAGATTGGGACTGATAATAAGAAAAACAAATGGCCGATACGCAGCCATTTAGGATTTCACATAGTAAAGACTTTTATTCCTATTTCTTAAGAAATACTGAATGGATCTCTCTAAAATTTTATAGCTATATTCCCAGCAGTGTCTATTTGTGCCCAATTGATTTTGGGACTGCTCAATGGAAACAAAGTGGCCTCCAAGTGACCATTTTGGATTTGGCTGGAAAAAATTATTGCTATTTTTTGCAGAATATTGTTCAAATATCTTATCTATAAGAGCAAAAACAGAGATGAGAAGAGAAAAGAAGGGAAAGGATCCAACTTTCAAAAAGCAAATAAAGATGAAACAATGGCGGATGACAAGATCCCTCTGGGATCTCTTGTTTATCTCAAAGTTACTTTTTGCAGGTCTCTTAGAGAAATTGGTATAGAAACTATAAACATAACAGTAAAATTTCATTCTGCAAAAATAATTCTGAGACTGATATTTGTGAATGTATGCAAGAAATACATACTACAACTGTAAAAATCATCTTTGTGTATCATAGGTCCAACACAGGTTCTAAAGCAAAACTCAACTTATGTATCTTCTCAGGTGTTTGTGCCAACGGAGGAAATGTGTCGATGGAGGATGGTAAAATGGTCATGTGTTCACCGGAGAAGCCATGTAACCAATCAGGATATACATGTAATAGAGCAGGTTACTGTTGTCCAGCTAAAGTCTACAAAGGTAAGGGGTCCAGTCTGAAACATATACATGTAATAGAGCAGGTTACTGTTGTCCAGCTAAAGTCTACAATGGTAAGGGGTCCAGTCTGAAACATATACATGTAATAGAGCAGGTTACTGTTGTCCAGCTAAAGTCTACAGAGGTAAGAGGTCCAGTCTGAAACATATACATGTAATAGAGCAGGTTACTGTTGTCCAGCTAAAGTCTACAGAGGTAAGGGGTCCAGTCTGAAACATATACATGTAATAGAGCAGGTTACTGTTGTCCAGCTGTCTACAGAGGTAAGAGGTCCAGTCTGAAACATATACACGTAATAGCAGGTTATTGTTGTCAAGCAAAAGTCTGCAGGGTAAGAGGTTCCAGCTTTGTTGATCTGTGATGGTCAAATTAAATAATGTCAGTCCTTATTGTCACTCTGAATCTATATTGTTGTATTGACATGAAATTTCTAATAAGTATTTCAGGCTGACTCTGTTTTTCAGATTATTAAATTTTCATGAAATAACTGAGTTATTTGAAGACATTTTCAAGTGATTTTCTAATCCAAGTATTATAAAATTCATCAACCTTGTTAAGTGTACAAACTCAAATGATGACCACGATAACCCTGTTAATATGAACTTGTATGATACAGGTTACTGTCCTAATGGTGGTAAACCAGCATACCATGATGACCGACCGAAAACTTGTCATGATAACAAGTCATGTGATGGAGGGATGTACCACTGTGATGGTGGCTACTGTTGTCCTCAGAGTGTTGCCTTCAGTGGTAAGTAAGAGGAGTGAATGTATAAACCTTGTCAATCATCATCATGTTATTCTGTTAATTCTATAGAAATATTGATAAAATTTCAAAGTGAAAATCCAAGATGGTGGGCTGTTCAAATCCCCCTATGTCCATGATTCATTGTTCTTTTGTCGGGCTGTAAATATTTTTTGTTGTCGCTATTTCTAAATTCCATATGTAAGTTCCCTTTGGTCCCTTTTGATTTTGGTACTGATCAAAAATTTAAACTGGCTGACATGCGGCTATCTTGGATTTTCATTTGGAAGTTTGTTATCACTATTTCTTGAGGAATACTGCATATATAATTCTCAAATTTCATGTATAGGTTCCTCTTTGTCCCTAGTTGTGAGAGTTTGGGACTGATCAGAAAAACAAGGTTGCCAACGGGTGACCTTCTTGGATTTGGCAGTTAAAGATTTTCAGTACTATTTTTGCAAAGGAATGTTCAAACAGAAACAGAAGAGAAAAGAAAAAGATCCAATTTTCACAGAGTAAATAAAGATTAAACAATGGTGGGCACCTAGATCCCTCTTGGATCTCTTGTTCATTATTTTACAGTGAAGGACTATATTAGCATTTAACCATTGTGTATAAATTAGTTAGGTATAGACCATGGACAAGAGATATCTTTTTAAAAAGATTAAAATTCTTCAAATTGCAGCTAAACAAACACTGGAGCAATGAACCCTCTAGGTTTTCATCTACATGTGATATAGTTACCAGATCTGACAACTAATCACACAAGGACACGCCTCCAGAAGGGCTTATTTTGGTGTTTAAATGACATAATTTACATGATTGACAAGGATACTTTATAGGAAATCTACATATTCCTGGTCTATCATACACTTATCAACATTGAATCTGTAATATATACCACTATCAACAAAATCTGTGGTGTGGTCATTTGATACAACTACCTCAGTTTTAAATCTGACTAAACCATCTTGGTTTGGATGTGTGAAGTATATCATTGATTATAACACTATGTAACCAGGTTTCACTGTTGTGTCATTTTAAGGACCATGTCCTAATGGTGGGATGGCAGCACAGATTGACGGTACAGATAAACAGTGTGACAGAGATGTGGACTGTGGAGGAAGCTACCAGTGTACCAATAACTATTGTTGTCCAGTCACTATACAATCTGGGATGTGTCCATTTGATGGAATCCCACAGATGACAGAGATGGGAGAACCTCGCATGTGTAACAAGACCTCTAAATGTATGTCGAAGTCATATGGTTGTGAGGGAGTGTACTGCTGTCCCCGGAGATTTTCTACTGATGGTAAGTTATCACACAGATGTGAGGAAGGGTACTTGCTCCCCAGAGTTTCTCTGCTGATGGTAAGTTATCACACAGATGTGAGGGAGGGTACTCTTATCCAGTTGTGAGGGAGTGTACTGCTGTCCCCGGAGATTCTCTACTGATGGTAAGTTATCACACAGATGTGAGGGAGGGTACAAGCTCCCCAGAGATTCTCTGCTGATGGTAAGTTATCATACAGATGTGAGGGAGGGTACTGCTGTCCCCGGAGATTCTCTACTGATGGTAAGTTATCACACAGATGTGAGGGAGGGTACTGCTGTCCCCAGAGATTCTATACTGATGGTAAGTTATCACACAGATGTGAGGAAGGGTACAACTGATGATGATTTATCATAAAAGGATGAAAGTGGAGATTTGGATTTCTTCATTTCATCTTAAGATAAAAAACGTGAAATTATTGAACATTTTCATAAATATTTGAAATCAAGACGGCTTTATGACCACTTTTTATAAACTAACGTTCTTTAAAATTTAAGATACCCTTTGATATGAGAATCTTAAGAAATATAGTTAAATATATCTCAGCGTGTAAAAATGGAAGATTTGAGTTTGTTTTAATATTTTGAAGCAAATGATTGGAAATTTTGATGAACTTTGAGAATTGGCAAGAACCCCTTGAATAATTTTCCCATTTGATTCGTTTTGTAAGCAGCTTGAAATTTTAGAGACTTTTAAAGTGTCCTTGCTATTGACAGGAATATGCCCCGGAGATGCCTCACCAGAAATTATGGATTCAGTCTTCTTTCACAAATCTACATTTTAGTATTGAAAGAAAGTCACATTTTGATATTGATAATTAAGTTGTCATCCCATCAATCTAGTTATTTTGATGTTTTGTGACAGGAATATGCCCCGGAGATGCCTCACCAGAAATTATGGATGGTGCTGTAAGGACATGCCCTAACAACAACAGGTGTGGAGGAGGATACAGCTGTCAATTCGGCCACTGTTGTCCTGTCAGGGTCTTTACAGGTAAATACCAACACACATGATCATCAATACCTCAACTGATTATAAATACAATAAATACAATAAATACATGTATTACATACAATGGACTCTATCCTGTAGGAGGGTAGGGAGGGGGGGATGAGAGAGTCAGTAGAGCATAGGGATAATTATAAATACAATAAATACATGTATTACATACAATGGACTCTATCCTGTAAGAGGGTGGGGATGGGAGAGTCAGCAAGCTGAAAAGCAGATCAGGTTTTTTGACACTTGTTTCTCTGACAAGATGTTTTACTTCATTTCAACTCAATGACATCACAGAGCTCTGTCCCAAAATTGTGCTGGCTTTCCACCAGGCAATAATTCAACAGCAGCTAGTTGAATGTCCTGTAGATGGAAATGAAACCATTATTCATCAACATCTCCCTTTAACATCTTCTTCAAAGTAATCCAAAGATCTAGAATTATGATATTTGGCTGAAAGGTTTCTTGGTTGAAGCTCAGCAAAGTAGGTGGAAATAAATGATGTTGATGGATACTCAAGGTCACAGGGATCATGATAGTTGTTGGGTAGGTCCCCAGGATGAAGTTCAAAATGTAAGGAAAAGAATTGACCATAGGCATTATTCCAGGTCATGCATTTAAATTTGGTAAAAACAACTTCTTCAAATGAACCAAAAGGCCTAGAATCATAATATTTGGCTGCAGGTTGAAGCTTGACAAAATTAGTGAAAAGAAATGATCTTTGTTACCCATATTCAAGAACAATTTGTTAAAACTATCAAACAACTTTTTTTCTAATTAAACAAAATGACAAGAATCCTGATATATGGCTTGTAAGTGCCTTGGATGAAGCTTATCTAATATCACTAGAGTCAAATTTCATAAAAACATTCTAGCAAGTTATTGACCAAAATGCTAAGAATGTTGATATATAGTGGATAGATTCCAGATAAACCCATCAGAGTTTATGAAGAGAAAATTCCTTTAGCAATAATCAATGTCAAAGGAGTCATATTAGTTGGGATGTCCTAATGACTTCTTTGACTTCATAAAACAAGAATTTGAATACCAATGATTTGAAATGTCAGTGTATCTGTGAAGAGGTTTGAATATCAGGTGAGTTATAAAAGTGTATTGGGTTTCTTGTTTTTTATCCCACTTTTATCAGACGATGGGCTATTCAAAATCACACTGATCAAAAAAACAAAATGGCTGACAGTTGGCCATCTTGGATTTTGACTTTGAAAGTTTGTTATTGGTCTGTTTTGAGATAAACTGCATAGATCTTTATCAAATTTCATGTGTATGTTCCTCTTGGTCTCTATTTGTGCCTGTTTGAGATTGGGACTGATAATAAGAAAAACAAATGGCCGATACGCAGCCATTTAGGATTTCACATAGTAAAGACTTTTATTCCTATTTCTTAAGAAATACTGAATGGATCTCTCTAAAATTTTATAGCTATATTCCCACCAGTGTCTTTTTGTGCCCAATTGATTTTGGGACTGCTCAATGGAAACAAAGTGGCCTCCAGGTGACCATTTTGGATTTGGCTGGAAAAAATTATCGCTCCTTTTGCAAAATATTGTTCAAATGTCTTATCTATAAGAGCAAAAACAGAGATGAGAAGAGAAAAGAAGGGAAAGGATCCGTGTTTCAAAAAGCAAATAAAGATGAAACAATGGCGGATGGCAAGATCCCTCTGGGATCTCTTGTTTATCTCAAAGTTACTTTTTGCAGGTCTCTTAGAGAAATTGGTATAGAAACTATAAACATAACAGTAAAATTTCATTCTGAAAAAAAGAATTCTGAGACTGATATTAGTGAATGTATGCAAGAAATACATACTGCAACTGTAAAAATCATCTTTGTGTATCATAGGTCCAACACAGGTTCTAAAGCAAAACTCAACTTATGTATCTTCTCAGGTGTTTGTGCCAACGGAGGAAATGTGTCGATGGAGGATGGTAAAATGGTCATGTGTTCACCGGAAAAGCCATGTAACCAATCAGGATATACATGTAATAGAGCAGGTTACTGTTGTCCAGCGAAAGTCTACAAAGGTAAGGGGTCCAGTCTGAAACATATACATGTAATAGAGCAGGTTACAGGTTACTGTTGTCCAGCTAAAGTCTACAGAGGTAAGAGGTCCAGTCTGAAACATATACATGTAATAGAGCAGGTTACTGTTGTCCAGCTAAAGTCTACAGAGGTAAGAGGTCCAGTCTGAAACATATACATGTAATAGAGCAGGTTATTGTTGTCAAGCAAAAGTCTGCAGGGTAAGAGGTTCCAGCTTTGTTGATCTGTGATGGTCAAATTAAATAATGTCAGTCCTTATTGTCACTCTGAATCTATATTGTTGTATTGACATGAAATTTCTAATAAGTATTTCAGTCTGACTCTGTTTTTCAGATTATTAAATTTTCATGAAATAACTGAGTTATTTGAAGACATTTTCAAGTGATTTTCTAATCCAAGTATTATAAAAGTCATCAACCTTGTTAAGTGTACAAACTCAAATGATGACCACGATAACCCTGTTAATATGAACTTGTATGATACAGGTTACTGTCCTAATGGTGGTAAACCAGCATACCATGATGACCGACCGAAAACTTGTCATGATAACAAGTCATGTGATGGAGGGATGTACCACTGTGATGGTGGCTACTGTTGTCCTCAGAGTGTTGCCTTCAGTGGTAAGTAAAGAGGAGTGAATGTATAAACCTTGTCAATCATCATCATGTTATTCTGTTAATTCTATAGAAATATTGATAAAATTTCAAAGTGAAAATCCAAGATGGTGGGCTGTTCAAATCCCCCTATGTCCATGATTCATTGTTCTTCTGTCAGGCTGTAAATACTTTTTGTTGTCGCTATTTCTAAATTCCATATGTAAGTTCCCTTTGGTCCCTTTTGATTTTGGTACTGATCAAAACAGGAAATGGCCAACAGGCGGCCATTTTTTGGATTTTGATTTTGAAAGTTTGTTATCGCTACTTCTTGAGAGATACTGCATATATAATTCTCAAATTTCATGTATAGGTTCCTCTTTGTCCCTAGTTGTGAGAGTTTGGGACTGATCAGAAAAACAAGGTTGCCAATGGGTGACCTTCTTGGATTTGGCAGTTAAAGATTTTCAGTACTATTTTTGCAAAGGAATGTTCAAACAGAAACAGAGAAGAGAAAAGAAAAAGATCCAATTTTCACAGAGCAAATAAAGATTAAACAATGGTGGGCACCTAGATCCCTCTTGGATCTCTTGTTCATTATTTTACAGTGAAGGACTATATTAGCATTTAACCATTGTGTATAAATCAGTTAGGTATAGACCATGGACAAGAGATATCTGTAAAAAGATTAAAATTCTTCAAATTGCAGCTAAACAAACACTGGAGCAATGAACCCTCTAGGTTTTCATCTACATGTGATATAGTTACCAGACCTGACAACTAATCACACAAGGACACGCCTCCAGAAGGGCTTATTTTGGTGTTTAAATGACATAATTTACATGATTGACAAGGATACTTTATAGGAAATCTACATATTCCCAGTCTATCATACACTTATCAACATTGAATCTGTAATATATACCACTATCAACAAAATCTGTGGTGTGGTCATTTGATACAACTACCTCAGTTTTAAATCTGACTAAACCATCTTGGTTTGGATGTGTGAAGTATATCATTGATTATAACACTATGTAACCAGGTTTCACTGTTGTGTCATTATAAGGACCATGTCCTAATGGTGGGATGGCAGCACAGATTGACGGTACAGATAAACAGTGTGACAGAGATGTGGACTGTGGAGGAAGCTACCAGTGTACCAATAACTATTGTTGTCCAGTCACTATACAATCTGGGATGTGTCCATTTGATGGAATCCCACAGATGACAGAGATGGGAGAACCTCGCATGTGTAACAAGACCTCTAAATGTATGTCGAAGTCATATGGTTGTGAGGGAGTGTACTGCTGTCCCCGGAGATTCTCTACTGATGGTAAGTTATCACACAGATGTGAGGAAGGGTACTTGCTCCCCAGAGTTTCTCTGCTGATGGTAAGTTATCACACAGATGTGAGGGAGTGTACTGCTGTCCCTGGAGATTCTCTACTGATGGTAAGTTATCACACAGATGTGAGGGAGGGTTCTGCTGTCCCCAAAGATTCTCTGCTGATGGTAAGTTATCACACAGATGTGAGGGAGGGTACTGCTGTCCCAGGAGATTCTATACTGATGGTAAGTTATCACACAGACGTGAGGAAGGGTACAACTGATGATGATTTATCATAAAAGGATGAAAGTGGAGATTTGGATTTCTTCATTTCATCTTAAGATAAAAAACGTGAAATTATTGAACATTTTCATAAATATTTGAAATCAAGACGGCTTTATGACCACTTTTTATAAACTAACGTTCTTTAAAATTTAAGATACCCTTTGATATGAGAATCTTAAGAAATATAGTTAAATATATCTCAGTGTGTAGAAATGAAAGATTTGAGTTTGTTTTAATATTTTGAAGCAAATGATTGGAAATTTTGATGAACTTTGAGAATTGGCAAGAACCCCTTGAATAATTTTCCCATTTGATTCGTTTTGTAAGCAGCTTGAAATTTTAGAGACTTTTAAAGTGTCCTTCCTATTGACAGGAATATGCCCCGGAGATGCTTCACCAGAAATTATGGATTCAGTCTTCTTTCACAAATCTACATTTTAGTATTGAAAGAAAGTCACATCTTGATATTGATAATTAAGTTGTCATCCCATCAATCTAGTTATTTTGATGTTTTGTGACAGGAATATGCCCCGGAGATGCCTCACCAGAAATTATGGATGGTGCTGTAAGGACATGCCCTAACAACAACAGGTGTGGAGGAGGATACAGCTGTCAATTCGGCCACTGTTGTCCTGTCAGGGTCTTTACAGGTAAATACCAACACACATGATCATCAATACCTCAACTGATTATAAATACAATAAATACATGTATTACATACAATGGACTCTATCCTGTAAGAGGGTAGGGAGGGGGTGGGGGGAGTCAGTAGAGCATAGGGATAATTATAAATACAATAAATACATGTATTACATACAATGGACTCTATCCTGTAAGAGGGTGGGGATGGGAGAGTCAGCAAGCTGAAAAGCAGATCAGGTTTTTGACACTTGTTTCTCTGACAAGATGTTTTACTTCATTTCAACTCAATGACATCACAGAGCTCTGTCCCAAAATTGTGCTGGCTTTCCACCAGGCAATAATCCAACAGCAGCTAGTTGAATGTCCTGTAGATGGAAATGAAACCATTATTCATCAACATCTCCCTTTAACATCTTCTTCAAAGTAATCCAAATACTAGAATTATGATATTTGGCTGAAAGGTTTCTTGGTTGAAGCTCAGCAAAGTAAGTGGAAATAAATGATGTTGATGGATACTCAAGGTCACAGGGATCATGATAGTTGTTGGGTAGGTCCCCAGGATGAAGTTCAAAATGTAAGGAAAAGAATTGACCATAGGCATTATTCCAGGTCATGCATTTAAATTTGGTAAAAACAACTTCTTCAAATGAACCAAAAGGCCTAGAATCATAATATTTGGCTGCAGGTTGAAGCTTGACAAAATTAGTGAAAAGAAATGATCTTTGTTACCCATATTCAAGAACAATTTGTTAAAACTATCAAACAACTTTTTTTCTAATTAAACAAAATGACAAGAATCCTGATATATGGCTTGTAAGTGCCTTGGATGAAGCTTATCTAATATCACTAGAGTCAAATTTCATAAAAACATTCTAGCAAGTTATTGACCAAAATGCTAAGAATGTTGATATTTAGTGGATAGATTCCAGATAAACCCATCAGAGTTTATGAAGAGAAAATTCCTTTAGCAATAATCAATGTCAAAGGAGTCATATTAGTTGAGATGTCCAAATGACTTCTTTGACTTCATAAAACAAGAATTTGAATACCAATGATTTGAAATGTCAGTGTATCTGTGAAGAGGTTTGAATATCAGGTGAGTTATAAAAGTGTATTGGGTTTCTTGTTTTTTATCCCACTTTTATCAGACGATGGGCTATTCAAAATCACACTGATCAAAAAAACAAAATGGCTGACAGTTGGCCATCTTGGATTTTGACTTTGAAAGTTTGTTATTGGTCTGTTTTGAGATAAACTGCATAGATCTTTATCAAATTTCATGTGTATGTTCCTCATGGTCTCTATTTGTGCCTGTTTGAGATTGGGACTGATAATAAGAAAAACAAATGGCCGATACACAGCCATTTAGGATTTCACATAGTAAAGACTTTTATTCCTATTTCTTAAGAAATACTGAATGGATCTCTCTAAAATTTTATAGCTATATTCCCACCAGTGTCTATTTGTGCCCAATTGATTTTGGGACTGCTCAATGGAAACAAAGTGGCCTCCAGGTGAAAACTCAACTTATGTATCTTCCCAGGTGTTTGTGCCAACGGAGGAAATGTGTCGATGGAGGATGGTAAAATGGTCATGTGTTCAGAGGAGAAGCCATGTGACCAATCAGGATATACATGTAATAGAGCAGGTTACTGTTGTCCAGCTAAAGTCTACAAAGGTAAGGGGTCCAGTCTGAAACATATACATGTAATAGAGCAGGTTACTGTTGTCCAGCTAAAGTCTACAGAGGTAAGAGGTCCAGTCTGAAACATATACATGTAATAGAGCAGGTTACTGTTGTCCAGCTAAAGTCTGCAAAGGTAAGAGGTCCAGTCTGAAACATATACATGTAATAGAGCAGGTTACTGTTGTCCAGCTAGTCTACAAAGGTAAGGGTAATAGTCCAGTCTGAAACATATACATGTAATAGAGCAGGTTACTGTTGTCCAGCTAAAGTCTACAAAGGTAAGAGGTCCAGTCTGAAACATATACATGTAATAGAGCAGGTTACTGTTGTCCAGCTAAAGTCTACAGAGGTAAGAGGTTCAGTCTGAAACATATACATGTAATAGAGCAGGTTACTGTTGTCCAGCTAAAGTCTACAGAGGTAAGAGGTCCAGTCTGAAACATATACACGTAATAGAGCAGGTTATTGTTGTCAAGCAAAAGTCTGCAGGGTAAGAGGTTCCAGCTTTGTTGATCTGTGATGGTCAAATTAAATAATGTCAGTCCTTATTGTCACTCTGAATCTATATTGTTGTATTGACATGAAATTTCTAATAAGTATTTCAGTCTGACTCTGTTTTTCAGATTATTAAATTTTCATGAAATAACTGAGTTATTTGAAGACATTTTCAAGTGATTTTCTAATCCAAGTATTATAAAAGTCATCAACCTTGTTAAGTGTACAAACTCAAATGATGACCACGATAACCCTGTTAATATGAACTTGTATGATACAGGTTACTGTCCTAATGGTGGTAAACCAGCATACCATGATGACCGACCGAAAACTTGTCATGATAACAAGTCATGTGATGGAGGGATGTACCACTGTGATGGTGGCTACTGTTGTCCTCAGAGTGTTGCCTTCAGTGGTAAGTAAAGAGGAGTGAATGTATAAACCTTGTCAATCATCATCATGTTATTCTGTTAATTCTATAGAAATATTGATAAAATTTCAAAGTGAAAATCCAAGATGGTGGGCTGTTCAAATCCCCCTATGTTCATGAATCATTGTTCTTTTGTCGGGCTGTAAATACTTTTTGTTGTCGCTATTTCTAAATTCCATATGTAAGTTCCCTTTGGTCCCTTTTGATTTTGGTACTGATCAAAACAGGAAATGGCTAACAGGCGGCCATTTTTTTTATTTTGATTTTGAAAGTTTGTTATCGCTACTTCTTGAGAGATACTGCATATATAATTCTCAAATTTCATGTATAGGTTCCTCTTTGTCCCTAGTTGTGAGAGTTTGGGACTGATCAGAAAAACAAGGTTGCCAATGGGTGACCTTCTTGGATTTGGCAGTTAAAGATTTTCAGTACTATTTTTGCAAAGGAATGTTCAAACAGAAACAGAGAAGAGAAAAGAAAAAGATCCAATTTTCACAGAGCAAATAAAGATTAAACAATGGTGGGCACCTAGATCCCTCTTGGATCTCTTGTTCATTATTTCACAGTGAAGGACTATATTAGCATTTAACCATTGTGTATAAATCAGTTAGGTATAGACCATGGACAAGAGATATCTGTAAAAAGATTAAAATTCTTCAAATTGCAGCTAAACAAACACTGGAGCAATGAACCCTCTAGGTTTTCATCTACATGTGATATAGTTACCAGATCTGACAACTAATCACACAAGGACACGCCTCCAGAAGGGCTTATTTTGGTGTTTAAATGACATAATTTACATGATTGACAAGGATACTTTATAGGAAATCTACATATTCCCAGTCTATCATACACTTATCAACATTGAATCTGTAATATATACCACTATCAACAAAATCTGTGGTGTGGTCATTTGATACAACTACCTCAGTTTTAAATCTTACTAAACCATCTTGGTTTGGATGTGTGAAGTATATCATTGATTATAACACTATGTAACCAGGTTTCACTGTTGTGTCATTATAAGGACCATGTCCTAATGGTGGGATGGCAGCACAGATTGACGGTACAGATAAACAGTGTGACAGAGATGTGGACTGTGGAGGAAGCTACCAGTGTACCAATAACTATTGTTGTCCAGTCACTATACAATCTGGGATGTGTCCATTTGATGGAATCCCACAGATGACAGAGATGGGAGAACCTCGCATGTGTAACAAGACCTCTAAATGTATGTCGAAGTCATATGGTTGTGAGGGAGTGTACTGCTGTCCCCGGAGATTTTCTACTGATGGTAAGTTATCACACAGATGTGAGGAAGGGTACTTGCTCCCCAGAGATTCTCTGCTGATGGTAAGTTATCATACAGATGTGAGGGAGGGTACTGCTGTCCCTGGAGATTCTCTACTGATGGTAAGTTATCACACAGATGTGAGGGAGGGTACTGCTGTCCCCAGAGATTCTCTACTGAGGGTAAGTTATCATACAGATGTGAGGGAGGGTACTGCTGTCCCCAGAGATTCTCTACTGATGGTAAGTTATCACACAGATGTGAGGAAGGGTACAACTGATGATGATTTATCATAAAAGGATGAAAGTGGAGATTTGGATTTCTTCATTTCATCTTAAGATAAAAAACGTGAAATTATTGAACATTTTCATAAATATTTGAAATCAAGACGGCTTTATGACCACTTTTTATAAACTAACGTTCTTTAAAATTTAAGATACCCTTTGATATGAGAATCTTAAGAAATATAGTTAAATATATCTCAGTGTGTAGAAATGAAAGATTTGAGTTTGTTTTAATAGTTTGAAGCAAATGATTGGAAATTTTGATGAACTTTGAGAATTGGCAAGAACCCCTTGAATAATTTTCCCATTTGATTCGTATTTGTCAAGCAGCTTGAAATTTTTATAGACTTTTAAAGTTCTTTAACATTTAAGATGCCCTTTGATATGAGATGCTTCACCAGAAATTATAGATATATCTCTTCTTGTAAAAATCTACATTTTAGTATTAATATTTTGAAGCAAATGATTTGAAATTTTGTCATCTTTCAATTTAGTTATTTTGATGTTTTGTGACAGGAATATGCCCCGGAGATGCCTCACCAGAAATTATGGATGGTGCTGTAAGGACATGCCCTAACAACAAGAGGTGTGGAGGAGGATACAGCTGTCAATTCGGCCACTGTTGTCCTGTCAGGGTCTTTACAGGTAAATACCAACACACATGATCATCAATACCTCAACTGATTATAAATACAATAAATACATGTATAACATACAATGGACTCTATCCTGTAAGAGGGTGGGGATGGGAGAGTCAGCAAGCTGAAAAGCAGATCAGGTTTTTGACACTTGTTTCTCTGACAAGATGTTTTACTTCATTTCAACTCAATGACATCACAGAGCTCTGTCCCAAAATTGTGCTGGCTTTCCACCAGGCAATAATCCAACAGCAGCTAGTCGAATGTCCTGTAGATGGAAATGAAGCCATTATTCATCAACATCTCCCTTTAACATCTTCTTCAAAATAATCCAAATACATAGAATTATGATATTTGGCTGAAAGGTTTCTTGGTTGAAGCTCAGCAAAGTAAGTGGAAATAAATGATGTTGATGGATACTCAAGGTCACAGGGATCATGATAGTTGTTGGGTAGGTCCCCAGGATGAAGTTCAAAATGTAAGGAAAAGAATTGACCATAGGCATTATTCCAGGTCATGCATTTAAATTTGGTAAAAACAACTTCTTCAAATGAACCAAAAGGCCTAGAATCATAATATTTGGCTGCAGGTTGAAGCTTGACAACATTAGTGAAAAGAAATGATCTTGGTTACCCATATTCAAGAACAATTAGTTAAAACTATCAAACAACTTTTTTCTAATTAAACAAAATGACAAGAATCCTGATATATGGCTTGTAAGTGCCTTGGATGAAGCTTATCTAATATCACTAGAGTCAAATTTCATAAAAACATTCTAGCAAGTTATTAACCAAAATGCTAAGAATGTTGATATTTAGTGGATAGATTCCAGATAAACCCATCAGAGTTTATGAAGAGAAAATTCCTTTAGCAATAATCAATGTCAAAGGAGTCATATTAGTTGAGATGTCCAAATGAATTCTTTGACTGCATCAAACAAGAATTTGAATACTAGTGATTTGAAATGTCAGTGTATCTGTGAAGAGGTTTGAATATCAGGTGAGTAATAAAAGTGTATTGGGTTTCTTGTTTTTTATCCCACTTTTATCAGCTGATGGGCTATTCAAAATCACTCTGATCAGAAAAACAAAATGGCTGACAGTTGGCCATCTTGGATTTTGACTTTGAAAGTTTGTTATTGCTCTATTTTGAGATAAACTTTGTTTGTTATTGCTCTATTTTGAGATAAACTGCATAGATCTTTATCAAATTTCATGTGTAGGTCCCTCTTGGTCTCTATTTGTGCCTGTTTGAGATTGGGACTGATAATAAGAAAAACAAATGGCCGATATGCAGACATTTAAGATTTCACATAGTAAAGACTTTTATTCCTATTCCTTAAGAAGTACTGAATGGATCTCTCTAAAATTTTATAGCTATATTCCCACCAGTGTCTATTTGTGCCCAATTGATTTTGGGACTGCTCAATGGAAACAAAGTGGCCTCCAGGTGACCATTTTGGATTTGGCTGGAAAAAATTATCGCTATTTTTGCAAAGGATTGTTCAAATGTCTTATCAATAAGAGCAAAAACAGAGATGAGAAGAGAAAAGAAGGGAAAGGATCCAACTTTCAAAAAGCAAATAAAGATGAAACAAAGGCGGACGGGAAGATCCCTCTGGGATCTCTTGTTTATCTCAAAGTTACTTTTTGCAGGTCTCTTAGAGAAATTGGTATAGAAACTATAAACATAACAGTAAAATTTCATTCTGAAAAAAAGAATTCTGAGACTGATATTAGTGAATGTATGCAAGAAATACATACTGCAACTGTAAAAATCATCTTTGTGTATCATAGGTCCAACACAGGTTCTAAAGCAAAACTCAACTTATGTATCTTCTCAGGTGTTTGTGCCAACGGAGGAAATGTGTCAATGGAGGATGGTAAAATGGTCATGTGTTCACCGGAAAAGCCATGTAACCAATCAGGATATACATGTAATAGAGCAGGTTACTGTTGTCCAGCGAAAGTCTACAAAGGTAAGAGGTTCAGTCTGAAACATATACATGTAATAGAGCAGGTTACTGTTGTCCAGCTAAAGTCTACAGAGGTAAGAGGTCCAGTCTGAAACATATACATGTAATAGAGCAGGTTACTGTTGTCCAGCTAAAGTCTACAGAGGTAAGGGGTCCAGTCTGAAACATATACATGTAATAGAGCAGGTTACTGTTGTCCAGCTAAAGTCTACAAAGGTAAGAGGTCCAGTCTGAAACATATACATGTAATAGAGCAGGTTACTGTTGTCCAGCTAAAGTCTACAGAGGTAAGAGGTCCAGTCTGAAACATATACAGGTAATAGAGCAGGTTACTGTTGTCCAGCTAAAGTCTACAGAGGTAAGAGGTCCAGTCTGAAACATATACATGTAATATAGCAGGTTACTGTTGTCCAGCTAAAGTCTACAAAGGTTAAGAGGTCCAGTCTGAAACATATACATGTAATAGAGCAGGTTACTGTTGTCCAGCTAAAGTCTACAGAGGTAAGAGGTCCAGTCTGAAACATATACAGGTAATAGAGCAGGTTACTGTTGTCCAGCTAAAGTCTACAGAGGTAAGAGGTCCAGTCTGAAACATATACATGTAATAGAGCAGGTTACTGTTGTCCAGCTAAAGTCTACAAAGGTAAGAGGTCCAGTCTGAAACATATACATGTAATAGAGCAGGTTACTGTTGTCCAGCTAAAGTCTACAGAGGTAAGAGGTTCCAGCTTTGTTGGTCTGTGATGGTCATTTTAAATAATGTCAGCCCTGAATGTCACTCTGAATCTAAATTGTGTTATTGATATGAAATTTCTAATAAATATTTCAATCTGACTCCTTTCTTCAGCGTAATCAACTTTTCATGAATTACTTGAGTTAGTTGGACTTTTTCTCCTGATCCTCTGATCCAAATGTTATAAGTCATCAACCTTGTTAAGTGTACAAACTCAAATAATTGATGACCACAGTAACCATGTTAATATGAACTGGAGTTACTGCCCTTTGTTAAAATTTCATATCTGAAGCATAACTTTACTTGCATTTCAGCTAGTATAACAAAACCTTTGTGTAGATTTTGGCCATACTAAGACAATGTGATATGTACTACATTCAGGTCTCTCAACCCCTTAATTACAGAGGTACTACTCTTTCTTAAAAAATTAGTAGTAAAGATACATGTGCTGGTATTTACGATAGAACAATGAAAATTGATGTATACATTGGTCATATTAAGACTGTGCAGTGTATCAAATTCATGGCCCTTTGCTCCTCAATTACAGAGTTATTACCCTTTGTTAAGATTTTTTAACATTATCATTGCTTTGGTTCATTCATGAAACTTAGTGTATACATTGGTCAAACTAAAGTTATGTGCAGTATACTAAATTCAGAGCCTGTGACAAGTTGTTTTTGGGGAGCATTCATCAGTATGACTGACATTCTTGTTTCTACAGGTTACTGTCCTAATGGTGGTAAACCAGCATACCATGATGGCCGACCCGCAACTTGTCATGCTAACAAGTCATGTGATGGAGGGATGTACCACTGTGATGGTGGCTACTGTTGTCCTCCGAGAGTTGCCTTCAGTGGTAAGTAAAGGAGAGTATAAAACTTGTCAATCATCTTGATGTTATTCTGTTACACATATCATTCTCTGATCATTTCTTTACGTTTTAAAATTGTGAAAGTGTTTTTGTGTGGCCGGTATCCCGAATTTGATTTTGTCACAGTCCTAGATTTATAAACCTGAAAACACATAACTACCACAGTTGTACATCTTACTGAAAACCATGATCTTAATTGTTTGTTTGGCTGTGTGAAGTATATCACTGATTATAACACTATGTAACCAGGTTTCACTGTTGTGTCATTATAAGGACCATGTCCTAATGGTGGGATGGCAGCACGGATTGACGGTACAGATAAACAGTGTGACAGAGATGTGGACTGTGGAGGAAGCTACCAGTGTACCAATAACTATTGTTGTCCAGTCACTGTACAATCTGGGATGTGTCCATTTGATGGAATCCCGAAGATGACAGAGATGGGAGAACCTCGCATGTGTAACAGGACCTCTCAATGTATGTCAAAGTCATATGGTTGTGAGGAAGTGTTCTGCTGTCCCCGGAGATTCTCTACTGATGGTAAGTTATCACACAGATGTGAGGGAGTGTACTGCTGTCCCAAGAGATTCTCTGCTGATGGTAAGTTATACAGATGTGAGGGAGGGTACTGCTGTCCCTGGAGATTCTCTACTGATGGTATGTTACCACACAGATGTGAGGAAGGGTTCCTGCTGTCTCCAAAATTTGATTGTTGAAGATATAGCAAAAATATAAAATGAATTTTTGATTTCACTGACAATTGTCAATACAAATCTCCATCTTAGGATGAAAACTGTATGTTAATATCAGTCTCATGCAGAACTGATGCTTTTATACTTTTTAGGATACTTACCTTATAAAGTTTGTGATGTGATTGTCATCCCCAAGGTAATGTTTAACTGGTTTTACCCATTATGGCAGGTATATGTCCTGGAGATGCCTCACCAGAAATTATGGATGGTGTTGTAAGGACATGCCCTAACAACAAGAGGTGTGGAGGAGGATACAGCTGTCAATTTGGCCACTGTTGTCCTGTCAGGGTTTTTACAGGTAAATACAAGCTATAATGTTGATATTCCTCTACTGCAAAATACTTCTAGGTCTGTTGATACTGAAATCCTTATCCAAGAAGAAAAATGATTATATGTAAATAGCAGTGTAGCATGGTATTGTGAAGCATGGGAAAATTAACAAGGGTCAAAATACCATAATGGTGAAATAAACATCGTTATGGTAAAGTGAAGTCACATCATATTTATGCACAGAAAAATATAAAATGCCATTCAAAGAATACTCTATTCAATGAAATTCACAGAAAACTCGGTACAATGCTATTCAAAGAATTCTCTATACAATGTATATCACAGAATTCTCTGTACAATGTAATTCACAGAATTCTCTGTACAATGTAATTCACAGAATCGTCTGTACAATGTAATTCACAGAATCGTCTGTACAATGTAATTCACAGAATCGTCTGTACAATGTAATTCACAGAATACTCTGTACAATGTAATTCACAGAATTCTCTGTACAATGTAATTCACAGAATTGTCTGTACAATGTAATTCACAGAATCGTCTGTACAATGTAATTAACAGAATACTCTGTACAATGTAATTAACAGAATACTCTGTACAATGTAATTCACAGAATTGTCTGTACAATGTAATTAACAGAATACTCTGTACAATGTAATTAACAGAATACTCTGTACAATGTAATTCACAGAATCGTCTGTACAATGTAATTAATTCACAGAATACTCTGTACAATGAAATTCACAGAATCGTCTGTACAATGTAATTCACAGAATCGTCTGTACAATGTAATTCACAGAATCGTCTGTACAATGTAATTCACAGAATACTCTGTACAATGTAATTCACAGAATCGTCTGTACAATGTAATTCACAGAATCGTCTGTACAATGTAATTCACAGAATCGTCTGTACAATGTAATTCACAGAATACTCTGTACAATGTAATTAACAGAATCGTCTGTACAATGTAATTCACAGAATCGTCTGTACAATGTAATTCACAGAATCGTCTGTACAATGTAATTAACAGAATCGTCTGTACAATGTAATTCACAGAATCGTCTGTACAATGTAATTCACAGAATCGTCTGTACAATGTAATTCACAGAATACTCTGTCTGTACAGAATACTCTGTAATGTAATTCACAGAATACTCTGTACAATGTAATTCACAGAATCGTCTGTACAATGTAATTCACAGAATACTCTGTACAATGTAATTAACAGAATACTCTGTACAATGTAATTCACAGAATACTCTGTACAATGTAATTCACAGAATTGTCTGTACAATGTAATTCACAGAATACTCTGTACAATGTAATTCACAGAATACTCTGTACAATGTAATTAACAGAATACTCTGTACAATGTAATTCACAGAATACTCTGTACAATGTAATTCACAGAATACTCTGTACAATGTAATTAACAGAATACTCTGTACAATGTAATTAACAGAATCGTCTGTACAATGTAATTCACAGAATCGTCTGTACAATGTAATTCACAGAATCGTCTGTACAATGTAATTAACAGAATCGTCTGTACAATGTAATTCACAGAATACTCTGTACAATGTAATTCACAGAATACTCTGTACAATGTAATTCACAGAATCGTCTGTACAATGTAATTAACAGAATACTCTGTACAATGTAATTCACAGAATACTCTGTACAATGTAATTAACAGAATACTCTGTACAATGTAATTAACAGAATCGTCTGTACAATGTCATTAACAGAAAACTGTGTACAATGTAATTCACAGAATACTCTGTACAATGTAATTCACAGAATCGTCTGTACAATGAAATTCACAGAATTCTCTGTACAATGTAATTCACAGAATCGTCTGTACAATGTAATTCACAGAATACTCTGTACAATGTAATTAACAGAATACTCTGTACAATGTAATTCACAGAATCGTCTGTACAATGTAATTAACAGAATCGTCTGTACAATGTAATTCACAGAATACTCTGTACAATGTAATTCACAGAATACTCTGTACAATGTAATTCACAGAATCGTCTGTACAATGTAATTCACAGAATACTCTGTACAATGTAATTCACAGAATACTCTGTACAATGTAATTAACAGAATACTCTGTACAATGTAATTAACACAGAATACAGAATACTCTGTACAATGTAATTAACAGAATACTCTGTACAATGTAATTGACAGAATACTCTGTACAATGTAATTCACAGAATACTCTGTACAATGTAATTCACAGAATCGTCTGTACAATGTAATTAACAGAATACTCTGTACAATGTAATTCACAGAATCGTCTGTACAATGTAATTCACAGAATACTCTGTACAATGTAATTAACAGAATCGTCTGTACAATGTAATTCACAGAATACTCTGTACAATGTAATTCACAGAATACTCTGTACAATGTAATTCACAGAATTCACAGAATACTCTGTACAATGTAATTCACAGAATCGTCTGTACAATGTAATTCACAGAATACTCTGTACAATGTAATTAACAGAATACTCTGTACAATGTAATTCACAGAATACTCTGTACAATGTAATTCACAGAATACTCTGTACAATGTAATTAACAGAATACTCTGTACAATGTAATTAACAGAATCGTCTGTACAATGTAATTAACAGAATACTCTGTACAATGTAATTCACAGAATCGTCTGTACAATGTAATTAACAGAATACTCTGTACAATGTAATTAACAGAATCGTCTGTACAATGTAATTAACAGAATTCTCTGTACAATGTAATTCACAGAATTCTCTGTACAATGTAATTAACAGAATCGTCTGTACAATGTAATTCACAGAATACTCTGTACAATGTAATTCACAGAATACTCTGTACAATGTAATTAACAGAATCGTCTGTACAATGTAATTCACAGAAAACTGTGTACAATGTAATTCACAGAATACTCTGTACAATGTAATTCACAGAATACTCTGTACAATGTAATTAACAGAATACTCTGTACAATGTAATTCACAGAATCGTCTGTACAATGTAATTCACAGAATCGTCTGTACAATGTAATTAACAGAATCCTCTGTACAATGTAATTCACAGAATCGTCTGTACAATGTAATTCACAGAATCGTCTGTACAATGTAATTCAGAGAATTCTCTGTACAATGTAATTAACAGAATCGTCTGCACACAGAATTGTCTGTACAATGTAATTCACAGAATTGTCTGTACAATGTAATTAACAGAATACTCTATGCAATGTAATTCACTGAATACTCTGTACAATGTAATTAACAGAATACTCTGTACAATGTAATTCACAGAATCGTCTGTACAATGTAATTAACAGAATCGTCTGTACAATGTAATTCACAGAATCGTCTGTACAATGTAATTCACAGAATCGTCTCGTCTGTACAATGTAATTCACAGAATCGTCTGTACAATGTAATTAACAGAATACTCTGTACAATGTAATACAGAATCTCTGTACAATGTAATTCACAGAATCGTCTGTACAATGTAATTAACAGAATACTCTGTACAATGTAATTAACAGAATACTCTGTACAATGTAATGTAATTCACAGAATCGTCTGTACAATGTAATTAACAGAATACTCTGTACAATGTAATTCACAGAATCCTCTGTACAATGTAATTAACAGAATACTCTATGCAATGTAGCTCATCAGGGATATTTTTTTTCCATTTATTTGGGAAGTCAATTTTTTTTCAAATTTTTTTTTGGGGGGGAATGGTACAATGTTTCACAGAATTTACAATGTAATTGGTAAATCCAATTGGGACATGGTAATTCATCAAGGAGCACAATGAAAAGAATACTCACAATGAATATTAAGTACAATGTAACTCACAGAATACTGTATACAGTGTAGATATTGGATACTATTTACAGTTAACTCAGAATACATATACAGTGTAACATTCACAGAATACTACTATACACAGTATAACCCACAGATACTATTTACATTGAATGCTATATAGACTATAACTTTATACAATGTAACTCACACAGTACTGTATACACTATTACTCACCGAGACAAAATACTATAACTCACTCAATACCATATATACTGTAACTCACTGTGACAAAATAGTATAACTCACTCAATACTATATATACTGTAACTCACTGTGACAAAATACTATAACTCACTCAATACTATATATACTGTAACTCACTGTGACAATATACTATAACTCACTCAATACTATATATACTGTAACTCACTGAGACAATATACTATAACTCCCTCAATACTATATATACTGTAACTCACCGAGACAAAATACTATAACTCACTCAATACTATATATACTGTAACTCACTGAGACAATATACTATAACTCACTCAATACTACATATACTGTAACTCACTGTGACAAAATAGTATAACTCACTCAATACTACATATACTGTAACTCACTGAGACAAAATACTATAACTCCCTCAATACTATATATACTGTAACTCACCGAGACAAAATACTATAACTCCCTCAATACTATATATACTGTAACTCACTGAGACAATATACTATAACTCACTCAATACTATATATACTGTAACTCACTGAGACAATATACTATAACTCACTCAATACTATATATACTGTAACTCACTGAGACAATATACTATAACTCCCTCAATACTACATATACTGTAACTCAATGAGACAATATACTATAACTCACTCAATACCATATATACTATAACTTACTCATGCTATTTACTATGACCATAATGTGGTTAGAAACCCATCTATTTGGGGGGTGATCAGATAGGTCAGTGCAGATTGAACTTTATCCCTTACAGTTATCAGAATTAAGTCACTCTGATGCCATGATCGAAATGGAGAATTTTAAAAACCGAACATGAAAAATGAAGCATTTGTTAAAATTAAATTAAAAATTAACTTCATGTCTGAAATATTTTTAACAGATCTAAAAAAACATTATCATTGCAACTTTAAGTCTGATTTTTAATTTGTTTTTCCATATTTGTTATGTTACTTTCAGGAGCTAAACACATTTTGAATATCTTATCATTCATACCACCAGGAAATTATGGTAATATCATTTTTACAATATATCTCATTATGGATATAAATGTTACCATATTTCAATGTTTAATTGTATGTAAAATTCAACATTTCCCAGGTGTTTGTGCCAACGGAGGAAATGTGTCGATGGAGGATGGTGAAATGGTCATGTGTTCACCGGAGAAGCCATGTAACCAGTCAGGATATACATGTAATAGAGCAGGTTACTGTTGTCCAGCTTTCTACAAAGGTAAACATGAAAAATGAAGCATTGAAACATATACATGTAAAAATTTACTGTTGTCCAGCTAAAGTTTAACTAAAAAGGTAAGAGGTTGCAGTTTAACATATAATGTAATAGAGCAGGTTACTGTTGTCCAGCTAAAGTCTACAAAGGTAAGAGGTCCAGTCTGAAACATATACAGGTAATAGAGCAGGTTACTGTTGTCCAGCTAAAGTCTACAAAGGTAAGGGGTCCAGTCTGAAACATATACATGTAATAGAGCAGGTTACTGTTGTCCAGCTAAAGTCTACAGAGGTAAGGGGTTTAGTCTGAAACATATACATGTAATAGAGCAGGTTATTGTTGTCCAGCTAAAGTCTTCAGAGGTAAGAGGTCCAGTCTGAAACATATACATGTAATAGAGCAGGTTACTGTTGTCCAGCTAAAGTCTACAGAGGTAAGAGGTCCAGTCTGAAACATATACATGTAATAGAGCAGGTTACTGTTGTCCAGCTAAAGTCCACAAAGGTAAGGGGTCCAGTCTGAAACATATACAGGTAATAGAGCAGGTTACTGTTGTCCAGCTAAAGTCTACAAAGGTAAGAGGTCCAGTCTGAAACATATACATGTAATAGAGCAGGTTACTGTTGTCCAGCTAAAGTCTTCAGAGGTAAGAGGTTTAGTCTGAAACATATACATGTAATAGAGCAGGTTACTGTTGTCCAGCTAAAGTCTACAGAGGTAAGAGGTTCAGTCTGAAACATATACATGTAATAGAGCAGGTCACTGTTGTCCACCTAAAGTCTTCAGGGTAAGAGGTTCCAGCTTTGTTGGTCTGTGATGGTCAAATTAAATAATGTCAGTCCTTATTGTCACTCTGAATCGATATTGTTGTATTGACATGAAATTTCTAATAAGTATTTCAGTCTGACTCTATTTTTCAGATTATTAAATTTTCATGAAATAACTGAGTTATTTGAAGACATTTTCAAGTGATTTTCTAATCCAAGTATTATAAAATTCATCAACCTTGTTAAGTGTACAAACTCAAATGGTGACCACAATAACCCTGTTAATATGAACTTGTTTGATACAGGTTACTGTCCTAATGGTGGTAAACCAGCATACCATGATGGCCGACCCGCAACTTGTCATGATAACAAGTCATGTGATGGAGGGATGTACCACTGTGATGGTGGCTACTGTTGTCCTCAGAGTGTTGTATTTAGTGGTAAGTAAGGGGACAGATTGGGTGACCTTGATTTTACACCTTGTCAATGTAATTTATTTTTTTGTTTATGTGAGCGGTCTTAGGTCATGTGAATGTTACATGATTATTTGGTTCAGTGATCACTCTCAAACAATTAAGAATATATATTATGATTTTTCTTTTTTTTTTTTTAAAAAAAATCTTCATAGGACTAGATTTCAAACATGCTGTCAGTTGCTACCTTAGAAGATGAGATTTTTGATATCAAAGTTTGTTATCATTTTCTAATACCTAATAAATAATGGCGTTTCCTCATTATCTTGACATTTTTATTTTGATCATTTCTCCCTCACTTCCTGTCAGCCTCAAAGTTTTACCCGCTGTCATTCATGTATTTATATGTGTATCTGATAAATGAAGGTGTGCAATGGTTTGTATTAGGTAATTATAGATGTTTTAAAACTTTAAGGACCATGTCCCAATGGTGGGATGGCAGCACAGATTGACGGTACAGATAAACAGTGTGACAGAGATGTGGACTGTGGAGGAAGCTACCAGTGTACCAATAACTATTGTTGTCCAGTCACTATACAATCTGGGATGTGTCCATTTGATGGAATCCCACAGATGACAGAGATGGGAGAACCTCGCATGTGTAACAGGACCTCTAAATGTATGTCAAAGTCATATGGTTGTGAGGGAGTGTACTGCTGTCCCCGGAGATTTTCTACTGATGGTAAGTTATCACACAGATGTGAGGGAGGGTACTGCTGTCCCCGGAGATTCTCTACTGATGGTAAGTTATCACACAGATGTGAGGGAGGGTACTGCTGTCCTTGGAGATTCTCTACTGATGATAAGTTATCATACAGATGTGAGGGAGGGTACTGCTGTCCCCGGAGTTTCTCTGCTGATGGTAAATTATCACACAGATGTGAGGGAGGGTACTGCTGTCCCCAGAGTTTCTCTGCTGATGGTAAATTATCACACAGATGTGAGGGAGGGTACTGCTGTCCCCAGAGATTCTCTACTGATGGTAAGTTATCACACAGATGTGAGGGAGTGTACTGCTGTCCCCGGAGATTTTCTACTGATGGTAAGTTATCACACAGATGTGAGGGAGTGTACTGCTGTCCCCGGAGATTTTCTACTGATGGTAAGTTATCACACAGATGTGAGGGAGGGTACTGCTGTCCCCAGAGTTTCTCTGCTGATGGTAAATTATCACACAGATGTGAGGGAGGGTACTGCTGTCCCCAGAGTTTCTCTGCTGATGGTAAATTATCACACAGATGTGAGGGAGGGTTCTGCTGTCCCCCGAAATTCTCTACTGATGGTTAGTTATCATACAGACACAAGCTATACTATGAATCTGATTTCTCAAATGTGATTATGTTATCAGCTGATCCAGATTGTTATTAATACGGATGTTATGATTTTATATTTTAAGTCTTATCTATTTTTGTATTATTTTTTTTTTTATAGGTATATGTCAAGGTGATGCTGTACCGGAATTGATGGACAATGTGGTGAGGAAATGCCCCAATAACACTAGATGTGGGGCAGGATACACCTGTCACTTTGACCACTGTTGTCCTGCAAGGGTCTTTACAGGTAAAAACCAGTTAACATGTTGATATTCCTTTCATAGCAATACTGGTTACCATGATATCTCTATGATCAATGCTTAGTCGTATTTAAAATCAGAATGAAAGAAGATAACCATAATGATGTTAAGTCAGTAATTCTGAAAATGTATTAAAAACAGGATTTCTTAAAGTGAATATCTGATCAGTATGACATTATTGATAGAAAATTTTCTAAGAACCAAATTTTTAATGATAGGTCACTTTCAACCTGATCTAGTTCTGTTGTTTAGTATGATTCAGCTTCTGTATTACTTTCCAAGGTGTTTGCGCCAATGGAGGAAATGTGTCGATGGAGGATGGTAAAATGGTCATGTGTTCACCGGAGAAGCCATGTAACCAATCAGGATATACATGTAATAGAGCAGGTTACTGTTGTCCAGCTAAAGTCTACAAAGGTAAGAGGTCCAGTCTGAAACATATACATGTAATAGAGCAGGTTACTGTTGTCCAGCTAAAGTCTACAAAGGTAAGGGGTCCAGTCTGAAACATATAGATGTAATAGGGCAGGTTACTGTTGTCCAGCTAAAGTCTACAAAGGTAAGGGGTCCAGTCTGAAACATATACATGTAATAGAGCAGGTTACTGTTGTCCAGCTAAAGTCTACAGAGGTAAGGGGTCCAGTCTGAAACATATACATGTAATAGAGCAGGTTATTGTTGTCCAACAAAAGTCTACAGAGGTAAGAGGGACTGTGTTTGTGAATAAGTGTTGATTAAGTACTTCACCAACAACAAGATACTGGGCAAGTCATCACTAGGTCACAATAACATATATAACATGTTTCTAACCTGCTGTAACTTTGTGGGCTGCAGTAATCAGAGGTTTTTCTTAAAAGAAAAACAAAATTATTGTGCAATTCCACTAAAATTTGAAAACATTATTAAGGACTGTTTTATCATATTTTGTAAATATTTGTAATGCTGCATGGATGGTCACCCCCGTGTATGTCATGTGGACAAGTGAGAAGGTGATATACACCTGTAATGGTGGCTAATGGTGACCAAGTCTTCTTCTCCAACCATTATTCCATAATAATATTGTCATTTTCAAATCCTATTTCTAGCATTTGCCCAACAAGAGTTAAATGAACTAGCAGTGCATTTCACACTGGGATTTAGCTACTGAAATACTCCAGACCTCACTGCTGTTGAGAGCTTAAAGCTTGATGGAATTCAAGTATTAATCAGAGAAACTCTATCAATTTAGACCTTTTTTTCCTTGATAGGTTACTGTCCTAATGGTGGTAAACCAGCATACCATGATCGCCGACCCCAAACTTGTCATGATAACAAGTCATGTGATGGAGGGATGTACCACTGTGATGGTGGCTACTGTTGTCCTCAGAAAATTGCCTTCAGTGGTAAGTAATGGGGGAGCAAAAATGGAACCCCTTTAAATGACATGTTGCATGTGTGAGAATTTTTGATGATTGTAAATGTGAAGGGAAAAAAAAAATATATAATGATTGATGTATTTACCAGATTGCTTACAGGAGCAATACATAGCTGGGGTTGATGTTACAGAAAGATGTTGACAAATAAATGAACAAGAAAATTGAGAAAAACATTAACAAACACAACAGATTTATTATCATCATTAGTTGTTTGAATCAAGGCAAGTCATCTTATTCTTTTACAGGTTTCTGTCCCTATGGTGGTATTGCTGAGAAGACAGACAACAAAGATCGTGAATGTACAAACAATGTGACAAGTAAATGTGGTCTGACATATTCCTGTACAAATAGCATCTGCTGCCCAGGCATCTTCAACGATCGCAGTAAGTCTGCAAAATACAGTAATGTCCGATATATAATCAGCATGCAGTGATATCCATTTCTTCCTGTATCTTACATCCTTAACATACAGTCATGTCTGTTTCCATGCACAGTAATACTCTGTGCACATTGGCATTTTTGTTTATTAAAACCTTTATATCTATGAACATATTTCAGACCATACACACCTGTAGTAACCCATTTTCTTTTTGCATTCCCACTCACTGACCTCTCTTATTCTCTCTTTCCATATCACTTAGTAAATGATTCTTAACTTGTAAAAAAGAAATGTGTGATTTACTATAATGAGTTTTTATTTCAGTGTCATACTGTCCGTTTGGAGGATTAGTGGAAATGAAGAATGGACAGCCTAGAACATGTAATGAGAGTCAAACAGGCCTGCAGTGTCGAGCACGATCACACAGCTGTCTTGATGGCTATTGCTGCCCTAACAAGGTCATCCTTGAAGGTCAGTCTTTATTACATTCACTATTGTGTATCTATCATATACTGGGTGAGGAAGTTTGGGGTGAGGGGAGCGTGGCATATATAGTTGCAATCATCTGTCCCTTGGTGCAACCGAAAATACTTTCCTATTTCATTTCAGAACATTTTCTTCAGGTTGGTAATGTCATTGGAATAGAAGTTTTAAAACACAACCAGTAGAAGATTAGAGTGTAAGGTTTTGATGACTACATGGTCACCTTCATCAGACAAATGGCCAGTGTTTAGCATACTATGAGGCTGATAAGTAAGTTGTGAAACCTCAATTTTAAGGGTTTGATTTTTCATCATAATGCCCTTTAGTATCTATACACTTTTACCAGCAGTGTTTAAGGGCCTCAATGTCACTTTGAAAGCCCCTTTTCATGACCATTCAGAAAGTCCTCCTCTTCATGTATGATGTCATCATCTGACCGAAAGTGGGTACTGGAAATGGCCTTTTTCAATTTTTGAAATAGATAAAAGTCTGATGGGGTGAGATTGGGCAAATAAGGCAGATGCTCAATCATTTCAAAGCCACAATTGTAGCCATGGCAATGACAGACTAATATTGCATCACTGCTCTTTCCGTGATTTTGTCCATTTTGTAAATGACACCATTCTTTGGGTACAAAGCCTTAAATAGTCAGGGAATAGAAGAGCTGAAAGAGGACATCCATGCTTAATTTCTTCAATACAAGGCTCACAACTTAACAATCAGCCTTTGTAGCACTGAGGTATGAGATGGTAGGGAATTTCATCCGACTGACTAGGTGCTGTTAAGAACGAGAGCACCTGACATCAGTATGACTGCGGGAAAATGACTAAAATATTCCGAATACCATATTTGACGTCATGGGAGTTCCAGTGTAATCGAAAGTTAGAGAGAAGACTGGAATATTTTGCTTTCGAAGTACTGTTAACACGTTTTTTGTTTTAAATTTTCTTTACATTTTAATTGAAATTTAAGATGTAACATTAATATCATTGGGATAAAGTACTCGTCCGACGGACGACTGACAAAGAAAAATCTAGTTGTGCGAGACAATTTTCAGTCGTCCATGACGACTCGACGAGTGCTTTTCCTGACCCCTGGTTACTATGATGCTTTGTACTCTAAGGTTCAAAATGGTGTATCGAGAAAGTAAACAGATTAAAGACCAATGATAGGAGATACAAATATGATATGACACTGGCACCAGGCACAGTATGTGTGCAAGACTTGCAATAACATTTCACTTTGTCCACTTACCTGCTTTGAGAGGTTTCATTCATTACTAAACTACAAGATAACATGTCATCCCGAGTTTCACAAGTGAAGTAGGGCTGTTTTATAGTTATGTTTAGAGTTGAGACTAATCTTAAGAAATTATGAAAAAAATAATTCTAACAGTGTTAATTTTAGGGATTTTACCTATGTAAAATTAACACACATGTAACAGTTATAAGTTAGATTTAAATTATATATCTGTATATATCCGAAGTTTCATTAAAACAGAAAAAAAAAACCCAAAAGTTAAGTTTTTAAAATAGTTTTTTAAAAATAGATTTTAACATGGTAAAAATTATTGAGTGCCTGGGTCTAGGGGCAATAATTCCTTTGATCAATAAGCAAAAGTTAAGGAAGCCATTTGAATACATCGCAGTGGGTCAGTACTGAATAGGCACAATTGTGGCCACAAACTCTCCCACATCTATGGCCAAGTGTCAAAAAAGTGTAGCTGAACTGACTGGAGTTCATTGTTACCATCTTGTGTGTTTTTTGGTCAGTAATCTGTTTACCATCTCATCACACCATTTTCTATCTTAATATACATAAGATGATAGTTCAGTTGAAAAAGTTGGTTGATTCTGTACATCTTGTACACCACGTACGTCAGTGCTGGTACGCTCCACTCTGGTCATTTGATATTCTAATCTCCTACTGTTTGTATTATAAGAACTCTTCTATAGTTTCCCATAATGTTTTGGGATACTGACTTAAAATCATGTTTGTGGCTTCAAACTAAAGAGTTACAGATCGAGGCTGAATCCCAGTTAAAAAATCCAAATAGAAGTGGAGTTATTGCCCTTTGCATTTAGAGTATTGTGCAAGATGGCAGTTTTCTGGATTTTTAGGTCATCTGACTGAATGGTCTGATGACCTATTGCGATCACCTTTTGTCAGGTGTCGTATGGCGTCCGTCGTAAACATTTTCAACTTCTTCTCATATTCTACATGTCTCAATGAGCTGAAACTTACCTGAAATGATCGTAACATGATCCTGACCAAAGTTTGTTAATTTCGGGTTGGTCCAAAATCCAACATGGTTGCCATCTTGAAAACACATTTTTGACTTCTTCTCAAGTTCAAAATTTGAAATCTTGTATTTTATGTCAGATGACCATTAAGGCCCATGGGCCTCTTGTCTTGATAGTACCTTTAAATTCAAAATGGCTTCAAACTAACAAGTTAAATATCAAGTTGGAATCCAAACTAAGAAATCCAAGTTTAGATGATGTCATTAGACATATTGTTCAATACATTGCATCTACATCAGTTTGAGATGTCAGTGTTCATAAGTGAATAAACAGAGATGTTGTGGGATATATGAAAAACATTTTTTTTTATTTACATAGTATTGATGGGAGAATATCACACAGCCATGGTGTTGGATATCTGTATTACATCAGTGTGAGATATCAGTGTTGATTGGTGAATATCTTGAGATGATGCTGTTGGATATCTGTATTACATCAGTGTGAGATATCAGTGTTGATGGGTGACTATATTGAGATGATGCTGTTGGATATGTGTATTACATCAGTGTGAGATATCAGTGTTGATGGGTGATGCTGTTGGATATCTGTATTACATCAGTGTGAGATATCAGTGTTGATGGGTGATGCTGTTGGATATCTGTATTACATCAGTGTGAGATATCAGTGTTGATGGGTGACTATCTTGAGATGATGATGTTGGATATCTGTATTACATCAGTGTAAGATATCAGTGTTGATGGGTGAATATCTTGAGATGATGCTGTTGGATATCTGTATTACATCAGTGTGAGATATCAGTGTTGATGGGTGACTATCTTGAGATGATGATGTTGGATATCTATTACATCAGTGTAAGATATCAGTGTTGATGGGTGAATATCTTGAGATGATGCTGTTGGATATCTGTATTACATCAGTGTGAGATATCAGTGTTGATGGGTGAATATTTTGAGATGATGCTGTTTGATATGTGTATTACATCAGTGTGAGATATCAGTGTTGATGGGTGATGCTGTTGGATATCTGTATTACATCAGTTTGAGATATCAGTGTTGATGGGTGAATATCTTGAGATGATGCTGTCTGATATGTGTATTACATCAGTTTGAGATATCAGTGTTGATGGGTGAATATCTTGAGATGATGCTGTTTGATATGTGTATTACATCAGTTTGAGATATCAGTGTTGATGGGTGAATATCTTGAGATGATGCTGTTGGATATCTGTATTACATTAGTGTGAGATATCAGTGTTGATGGGTGAATTTCTGATGGTGATGCTGTTGGATATCTGTATTACATCAGTGTGAGACATCAGTGTTGATCAGTGAATATCTTGAGATGATGCTGTTTGATATGTGTATTACATCAGTGTGAGATATCAGTGTTGATGGGTGAATATCTTGAGATGATGCTGTTGGATATCTGTATTACATCAGTGTGAGATATCAGTTCTGATAACATTAATATGAGATACATTTCAGAGGGGTTACTTTACTTTTGATGACAATCATCAGTTATGTTTAAATCAATCAAGTCATACTGAGATTGAAATCTTGGTGATCATCAAATACTCTCTACATGACTCTCATGATTGTTTGTGTAATTTTAAACAAAGCGATGTGTTAGGTTTGTTACTGATGGTCTGTCTGATCAGTTATCATTATAGCATATTCATCACATTTAAGTTACATTTCAATGATGAATTATTCATGCTTGAATTCTACCTGTGCTAGAATTTAATCACCAGGTGTATTTATTTAAGGCCAAAATAATGACTCCTTGTCGGGTATTTCCTATGATGAAGTTATTTATAGCGGAATACGTGACTATTGTATCTAGGTCAGCACGATTATTTTATGGGAATGTTGAGTGTACAATAGATGAGCCATTTCTGATATGTAAATCAGGGAAAGGGGACATTATTACATACTACCTCTGCCATTGTCCACTCCATGTACCAGGCAAAGTCATGCACCACTGCAAGCACAGAGGTGTGACAAACTGGTCAGGGTCGATCGCACCATCAATTAGCATAGTGTAGATGGAATTCAACATATTACCCATGTACAACTTAATCCTTTCTTTTCTTGTTATTCATTATGATAAATTTTGATAAATTTGACAATTCTTTCTTATTCACAGATTTCATAAGCTGGACAAATTTAAACATACTGGGTCTATTATAATAATATTTCTTTATGAAACGTTTCCTTAAATCCACATTCTTTCACACTTAACAATAACATGAAATTCGTTGTCTGTGTCACCATAAATTGCAGATTCTATCATTCTTTTTTATGTTATGATACCTCCCAGTTTCAATATTCAGTTTGTGAGATGACATTCTGATTTTTGCTATTTCCATTTAATTAGAATTTTCTACAGATTTTGTAAGATAATTTTGAAAACAGAAGTCCTCACTGGTATATTTATACAGGGAACATTTGGAAGATGAATATATCTGTTTACAACATTCTTGTTTAAAGATATTGAACAATGTAGTTTATAACATAATCAGGTGTATAAGTATCTTTATATTGCAGTATATACCCCACACAGAAAGTTCTCTTACACCGTACAGCCAATAGTTTCCATTTTCTAAGATATCTTGGTAACTGACTTGTAAAATATAGTTGTGAGAATGCTTTAATTTCACCCAATACTAAAAAATGCTAATTTTTCTGTTAATTTTCAGAGGAACTCTACAAAATTTGTGGTGGA